CTCGTTTGTCGCTTTTTAACCATAATCGGAGGTTCAACTTTGATATCATTCTGCTCTTCTAATGCTGGCGCTTCTTTCACAGTTTTCAGTGCTGGAGATGGAAGTTTCTTCCAGGAAGACATTCTATCAATGTTTGCAGGAGATTCAGATTCATTAATATTATAATTTTCAGGAGGAGAGAGAGGAGGAACTGAGCGTACAACAACATCCTCCTTCCATTCTAAACCACGCTGCTCCTGACTATAAGCTTTCTTGGTAGATGGTGGTATCTTTAAGACCTTTGCAGCACTTGAACTTCTTCCCGTTCCCGAAGGGGGTATTTTCTCTGTAGAATGCAAAACTCTTGACTGTCGTAGTTGTACAACTTGTTCCTCTTCCCCCCAACTTTCCTTATGGAACTGAAGTAGTCTCGTACATCTGGTAAGTATAAAAAGCATCCGAGTATGAAGCTGCTTGAGAACGCCTGGAGGAAGCTCTTGACGTCTATCATCTAAATCCTGAACAATGCCTTCACACTGAAGCCAGAAATCTCCAGGAGTAGTCATGGCACAACTGCGAGCCAAAATTAACAAGTCTTCAAATGTTTCTTCCCACTCAGGATGGCTTTCGGCATTTTTCTCAAGAACTCCCACCAGGTCCGCAGCAAATACTGCAAGGTCAGAGTTTACTTCTTCCTTTGCTTTATCAAATTTTGCCCGAATTAGAACCAATATTTCCTGGAAAAGATAGACTATTAGATTCGGCATACAACGAAACTCACGAGGGATTAGTTGAGATAGGAAACTCTAAAATACCTCCACATTGTTCGACCTACGAGGCTTCCACAATGGAAAGGGCCGTACACCTTTTGAGTTCAGCTCATGAGAAAAGCTTTTGATGTCACCAGGAAACCTCTTTCGTGGAGCACTGGTCATACGAAGTAAGGCTTGATAGCGTGGTGATTCTGACTCTTTTGGATTCTCCCATTCATACGAATTCTAAAAAGATAAACGTCAAGTCACCAAAATCACTTAAAACTAATACACATAAGCACGAACTACTTAAAAAAATATATGTGAAGGAGAAAGGGGTACCTCTGGGGTGCAAAAGTCAGAATTTCTTAGAGGGCCAGAGCGTCCAGATGACATCTCGGAGCGACCTGCGAAGTGCCATCATAAAAAAACTTGAAAAATAAGAACTGAAAAATCAACAGGTGACACACAATATCTAGCTAAAGTTCAGAATAAAAAGTGCCAAGGTGGTGATAAGCTCTAGTCAATAACTATCGAGGATAAGAGGGGCATACGTCTACATCATATTACCAGCATTCAGCAAACTGCCAATGCGTTTTCACGTCTTAATAGAACTCCCATTTAACATCAAAGCTACGGAAAGGGTTGAGAACAGAAAAGAAACATCGTTTCTCCACACCAACCATTTCAAGATGTTGTTAGAATCTGTGGACATACCAGTTCCCGATGAGGATGCTACATTTTGCAATCGAGATCCTGATGCCGGCGGCAACGTAGGGCTGAGGCTCCTCGGTGGTCCAGTATCAGGAGACACACTATCACGATCACACTTATTGTCACTCGTTCGAGCGCGACTCATGTTCTCTTCAAACCCCAGCTTGCTACTACTCCCAGCTTCCTTCTTCTTATTGCCGCTACCAAACCCAGAAGTGGCTGAACCGGAACCGGAACCGGAACCGGAACCGGAGCCCGAGCCCCCATCAGTACCCATCTTCGACAGTTTGCTCGTACATAACAGAGGAGGAGTTTCTCCATCATTCCTAAAATTGAAAACCCTTTCCTGTGGCAACGGTCCGGATCTCGTCTTGATCCGGTTCAAGCCCAGAGACGAGGCCATGATCGGAGAAACGAAAGCGGGTCCTTCTTTCGCGTCCCGCGGCGGCGGTCCAGCGGCTGATTTCTTCGCCTCGGAACTGGGAGACAAGTTCGATTTTCCGATAGAGTGTGCTTGAACTTCGTTTGGAACTTGTTTGCCCTTGGATGATCCATCCTTCTTCTTCGAACCACCTTTAATCTGGGTCTGCTTACAGCCAATCCCGGAAAATCCAGCAACGGGGCTAGGATTAGGGGTCGGGGATTCCTCTTTGGAAGCGGATTTAGGCTTCTTTTTGTCTGATCGTATCGGAGAGTTGGAGCCAACAGATCTGGGACTATTGGAACTATCAGGGCTCGAAGATCCGGATTTCTTCGAAGAGAAGAAGAGCTTGTTCTTGAACACCATTTTCGATTTCGCTAATTCAACCTAATCGCGACACTAGGATCCAACTCAAAATCCAGTTGTCATTTCCACACTCCAACTTCGAAAGAGTAATCACTAATCAGTCTCTCTCTCTGTGATCGGATTATGTGCCTCTCTGGAGATCTCAGAGCTTCAGAGTAATCGAGGGGAGGAAGCGACGAGGAAGAAGAAGGCGTGACTGTAGTAGAAAGCGTAGATTTAGCCCCAAACGTTTGATTTGATTGAAGTAAGTTAATGACTAAAGAAAAGAAAAATGGTCAAAACTGGTTAAGACTTAAGACTAGATTTTGACTTTTGATTAAATTTTTAAACTGATACAAATTCAATATCCAACAAAGACCCGATTTTCATATTTCCTTACCAGCACTATCCACCGTTGAAAATTGAATTAAAAGCCTATTTTGTATATTGTTATCATCGTATTGACAAGAAACCCATTGAGCTATTATTCTACTATGGGTCGGGCTTATTTGTTCATCTAATTTTCGTTGTTTTTATTAGCATAGATCGGATTATTTGATTTATTGGCACCTGATTCTATGAATTACAACAAACTTTTCAAGGTCAACACAATTTTCTTTGGCCAAAATTTTCAGAAATCTATTTGAAACTGAGGATGCATTGGTTGGTTATTAATAAGATATCATTTTTCAAAACTTGTAGGACAGAAGAAGAAATTATTAATAGAACATGGGTATACGAGGAACTAGTGGTAATTAATGATGCATATTATGAATATTTCGTAATAATTTTTTTATTATAAAATCATCATCAAATATAATGGGGTGAGTGACACATAGTATTAAGGATATAAGATCTATGTTTGCGAATCACAGAAGAACGGCAAAGAGGACAACGAGTACTCTTCAAAAGCCATTTACGGATGCAATCATGGTGGAAATTGTGCATGCAATCTCGTAAACTAACATAACCAAAATCATCTATTTGGATATGGTAGAGGCATATAGGGCAACTTTCTTCTTCATCATCATCGTTCCTAATTGAACTTTCCTTATTGATATTGTCCACGACGACTCCCTCCGATTTCTTGGTTTTGAACGTGTAATTATGTGAGAGTCCAAGTCGAGGAAATTTACCTTGGTTCATGGATCTTCTCAACTTGTTACGCACAAGTTTGAAAGATTCTATAGTGCCCCAAATGGTGATATAGCCGAAACCAAGGCCAATCATTAAGTAATTGAGTCGCACTAAGATGAGGATAGGCCAGGGAAAATTAATTATTTCTGGATCTGTGTAAGTACAGTAAAACATATATAAGTAAATGAATGAGATAAATGACGCCAACATGATGCACAAGATGCTTTCAACTAGCAATCGAAATATTGTAGGCTCTTTGCTAGATCTCCCTCGACGAGAACGAGCCATTCAATTAGACTCCAAAAAATAAAATAAAAAACGTGGTCTAATTTTGCAAGTATTCATCCATCCAAATCTACTCAGATGCTCATATATATAAATATTCCAAGATTTTCTCTTGATTTTGTTACAATATCCGGTGGCGGACATACTTGCTATGGAAATGGATTCAAGTGGACCAGTTAAAATTAGATAATTGAAATTGTTTTCACTTGTAATTAATATTGACGTGTCATTAGCTGATTTAGTCAAAAGCATCCACCCCCTAAAAACGTTCAACGCTTATCTTCAATTTGACCCACTAATTTGATTTTCTACATAAATCTACACAAGTATGGAGTCTTGTGTACACAGAAAGGTCACACAGGGAGAGGGAGACTAGGCCCTGTGGGAAATGGATTCTGAATAATGCTCTCATTGATTCTATTGTCAATAATTTGAAGAGTTGACAGTTTTATATCTCTCTGAAGATCTTCGTAAACACTCCTCTAGATGCAGCCCAATATTGAACAGGCTAAACTGAGTTAGTTAATTCTATGGTAACATTACATATATTCTGAGAAAATCAATAATGCCACAGAGCACAAACTTTCTTATATCTTAAGTTCTAGCAACAGTCGGTGGCTCATCCATTGTTTCCAGCCTCCCACAGTGTGAAGTGTGAAGTAAGGAAAACCAAACAATGATACCTTGGAATCAAAAATGGCAGAAACTCTGGAAGTGGGGATTTGAGCAGCTTTGCGGTTGTAGTAAGAAGGGCAAGTGGTACAGTAAGGATCATTACACATCCCCAATTGTCCAGATCTCAAGAGATTTGCGTGTTTCAATGGTGGAAGAAGTGTTTGAGAGGTAAACGCTACGAGACCTGGAAGTGAAAGTTCTAGCGCGAGACCGTGATGAGTTTGAAATCGGAAGCATGGGAGCATCATCGTTTTCGTTCGGGGAAGCTTTGTTTCTGGAAGCCATTTCCAGACAAATTCTCGTTGGGGAAAGTATTCACGGTTTGATCAAACTCCGTTATCTGATCACCAATTTTAATTTTAATTTTATTTTACAATACCAAAGACTATAATGGAATGAAAACTATATTCGTCACCAAACATAACCAAAACTCGTGGACAAAATCATCACCAAACAAAAATCGTCTAATATAATACTTTAACATTTTAAGGTTTATGCTTGACCTTGTTGACAATGCAAATGCAAATGCAAATGTTTATAACGAAACTCCTCCAAAAATTGTACGCAGAGATTACGGAAAAAAAAAACTAAAGAAAGTGGAAATAGATGTATGTCACAAATGGGAAGAAGCAAAAGTCCAAGATCTTCGCAAAGCTTGATCCCTATGTTCCAAACTTCTCTTCCAAAGCATCTCAATCATGGTCGAATGGTTTTTGTTTCTCCAACTAGAGTCAAAGAACATAAAAAAAAAAATCTCAGAAACAAAACAGAGACAAATCAAGATACCATTTTTGACTCAAAGAAATAACAAAATAGTGTACCTTGGCTCTAAGAGAGGCTGGAACATCTTCAAGGAATCTGTTGTCATAGTCCTCATTATATTTGATCACCATGTGATCTCTGATCACCTTAGCCAAATCCTGATTGACATTGGTTTTTGTCAAGTACTTCTCCATAATATCCAGTTTCTCTCCAACGATCTCAGCCTTTGATCTTCTCAGAAATAAATTTGTGTACTTAACACCTAAATAAAGCCACACAATCATACTGAAGATGATAACACCAGCCACAACCAACATCTCTTTTTCATTTACTGCATGAATGTCTCCATAGCCTGTGAAAAAATAATGAAATTGCTCTTTTCATAATAGCACACATTTTTTTTTTTGGTTTTAGAGAGTATAAAATTTGAAACTAACAATTAAACACTAACCAACTGTTGATGTTGTGACAGTAGCAAAGTAGACTGCTGCTATGTATTTTGGCACAATACCCAATTGTGAGAGGTTTTGATCTCCAATTTGGATCAGTGACATCCAGGTCTGATGTGATTCTGGATGACCATGGGAGGTGGTGGCGATATGGTAAAGCAAACAACCCGTTATATGAACCCAGTACAATTGGATAAACATCAGTTTGAGAAAACTGATGAAAGAGAAGTTTAACCCTTGACGTTTCTCAAGCTTCTCCAATAGCTGTTTTCCCTTCAAAGCTCGTAGAGTTTTAATCCACACCAAATAATGCAACTACAAAAATTTGTCAACGACAAATTAGTAACCTAAAGACGTCACACAATATATATTTCTCCACAAACGTATCTAAAATAAAATAATTTTACCAAACAGATCAGATTATGATGTTGTATACAATATAGGATAAATCCAAAAGTGAGTTTAATTTTCAGAATATACCTGGAATAGAAATTCCCATGGGACAAAAGCTACAGTTTCCAATATCCTGGGATTAAGCTTTAAGAACCTATAACACCAATACAGAAACACAGAGATATCATTATCAGATCAAAATAAGAGTTTTGAATAAAAGCATATATAATAATGATTTAGCTAGGAAGGAGACAGACCGAAAAAACGGATATTTGACCATAGCCATGGCCTGATTATCATTAGCGTAGACGTATATCCAATCACGTAGAATGTCCAGTCCGATGAATATTTCGAAAGCAATGGGAATCCATTGTGGGAAGTCATTAACTTTGAAAGCACATTTCAGAGGAGCCATCACAGAAGAGTAAACAGCCCATATCCCAAGTAAATAGGACACCCACAGCAAGATTCTAGCGAAAAAAAAAAACAAATTATGTAGCATAATCATAATATCAAATAGTTGAGTATTACGAAAATACATATCATATAGTTCATTATTACCTGCTGTTCATCCATTTAAACTTCTCAGTGTTGTCCTTAGCTCCATTTTTTTTCTTGTTCTTTTTCTTTCTTCCGCCGACGCTATTTTCTTCGATTGTGTCCATGTCCAAGGAATAAGAATCTGGAAGATTGGCACCAGGTGCGACGGTGCCACTACCGGACGCTCCTCCGGCGGCACGACCACGACGACCACCACCGAGTGCTCCTCCGGTGGCACGACCACCACCACGACCACGACCACCACGACCACCACGACCACCACCATGTCCAGTGTCCCCGGAATTGTCTTTGGATGCACCACCTAAGGAGAGATGCTCCGGATCTGAATACCAACGTTTACGTAAGGATGTCATTGCAGTGCCTCGCCCAGAGAACTCACACAGTCACTCTTTTAGGTCTGTGTGAACTCACACAGTCACGCTGGTTTTGTGTCGTAGAAAAGACACAAGTTTTTTACAAAACTAATTAAAAATAATCATTTCCATCCTTGTTATTAGATGCATGTATCCGGTGTGCATTACATTTTCCCTTTTCTTTTTTTTTTTCTTTTTCGTTTAACGGGAGAAGGTGACCGTTATACCCACCCTTAGTGGGCTTTACAATCACTTGGCCCAGTTCAGTTTTCTCACTAAACCCGTTTCTTCATAGCACTGTCGTTTTGATCTTTGCTCACTTCATTATCATTTGAAATTGGAGAGTTCTCTCTTCAAATAAAGCCGAGTCTGTTTTATTTATTTATTAAAGTAACATTGGATTTTCCTAGTCAATATTACTATCCAATCCAAAAGGTTTCAATAAATGCTATATACAGTATATATATATATATATGATCTAACATATCTCCTCTTTTTGGTCATATACCCAAAGGATATACCAATTCCTCAAAAGTATAATTGCTGTTTCTATGAATTTTTTTTCTTTTTTTTTATAAGGATGTAAAACTTTGATAGCACCCCCTCCATATATATAGATCGACGTGTCACGTGCATGCGACCAAAAACTTTTAACAAATATGCATTAATTAAAATGTATGGGTTACCCAATTGCTCAATCAGAAAGACTGTTGTTTACAAAAACTTCCAGATGTTTTTCTCATCACCCGAAAGACTTCCATGGCTAAGATTTAGAACTGCTGGAACCGAAAAATAGTAATACATCATTCGTAAAAGCAAATGTGATAAATTTCAATTTAGAAACAAGATCAGCTAACCCTAATAGACCCGAATCTGTTTTATTTAATTTCACAAAATTAAACAATTCATGAAATCCAAATAAACATAACTGAACTCTAATCTTACCACTCTTACCACTAAGTTTAAAACATTTTGTTTTTTCGGATCAAATATGTCTGTTTATTCGATTTGAAAAATTAGAAGTGAAAAAAAAGTAACTTTTTAAGTAACATTGGATTTTCTTAGTCAAAATTATATCAGCCACTATTCTGTCCAAAGGTTTCAAGAGATTGTATATAATCTCCTTTATTGGTCATATACCCAACGTATATATCAATTGCTCAACTATAATTGCTTTTTCATTTTTTTTATGTATGACGTTGATAGGCCACCCTTATATACAAATTATACATGACCTTGTCTCGTGCTACCAAACGTCTATGTATAGAAAAAGTGTCATACTTACTTTAAGTTCAACGTTCCGTTATGACTACATTTATACTACAGTTAGCGTATGGTCAGTGTGTATAAGACTTAAGACTAGATTTTGACTTTTGATTAAATTTTTAAACTGATACAAATTCATTCTCCAACAAAGACCCGATTTTCATATTTACCAGCACTATCCACCGTTGAAAATTGAATTAAAAGTCTATTTTGCATATTGTTATCATCGTATTGACAAGAAACCCATTGAGCTATTATTAGACTATGGGTCGGGCTTATTTGTTCTTCTGATTTTCGTTGTTTTTATAGGCATAGATCGGATTATCTGATTTATAGGCACCTGAATTTCAGATACCATTTTCTTGAATTTCAGATATCATTTTCTTTGGCCAAAATTTTCAGAAATCTATTAGAAACTGAAGAGACATTGGTTGGTTAGATACCATTTTTCAAAACTTGTAGGACAGAAGAAGAAATTATTAATAGAACATGGGTATACGAGGAACTAGTGGTAATTAATGATGCATATTATGAATATTTCGTAATAATTTTTTTATTATAAAATCATCATCAAATATAATGGGGTGAGTGACACATAGTATTAAGGATATAAGATCTATGTTTGCGAATCACAGAAGAACGGCAAAGAGGACAACGAGTACTCTTCAAAAGCCATTTACGGATGCAATCATGGTGGAAATTGTGCATGCAATCTCGTAAACTAACATAACCAAAATCATCTATTTGGATATGGTAGAGGCATATAGGGCAACTTTCTTCTTCATCATCATCGTTCCTAATTGAACTTTCTTTATTGATATTGTCCACGACGACTCCCTCCGATTTCTTGGTTTTGAACGTGTAATTATGTGAGAGTCCAAGTCGAGGAAATTTACCTTGGCTCATGGATCTTCTCAACTTGTTACGCACACGTTTGAAAGATTCTATAGTGACCCCAATGGTGATATAGCCGAAACCAAGACCAATCATTAAGTAATTGAGTCGCACTAAGATGAGGATAGGCCAGGGAAAATTAATTATTTCTGGATCTGTGTAAGTACAGTAAAACATATATAAGTAAATGAATGAGATAAATGACGCCAACATGATGCACAAGATGCTTTCAACTAGCAATCGAAATATTGTAGGCTCTTTGCTAGATCTCCCTCGACGAGAACGAGCCATTCAATTAGACTCCAAAAAATAAAATAAAAAACGTGGTCTAATTTTGCAAGTATTCATCCATCCAAATCTACTCAGATGCTCATATATATAAATATTCCAAGATTTTCTCTTGATTTTGTTACAATATCCGGTGGCGGACATACTTGCTATGGAAATGGATTCAAGTGGACCAGTTAAAATTAGATAATTGAAATTGTTTTCACTTGTAATTAATATTGACGTGTCATTAGCTGATTTAGTCAAAAGCAATCACCCCCTAAAAACGTTCAACGCTTATCTTCAATTTGACCCACTAATTTGATTTTCTACATAAATCTACACAAGTATGGAGTCTTGTGTACACAGAAAGGTCACACAGGGAGAGGGAGACTAGGCCCTGTGGAAATGGATTCTGAATAATGCTCTCATTGATTCTATTGTCAATAATTTGAAGAGGTGACAGTTTTATATCTCTCTGAAGATCTTCGTAAACACTCCTCTAGATGCAGCCCAATATTGAACAGTTTAGCCTGAAAATGTTGGACAATTAGTGAGTTAGTTAATTATTCTATGGTAACATTACATATATTCTGAGAAAATCAATAATGTCACAGAGCACAAACTTTCTTATATCTTCTAGCAACAGTCGGTGGCTCATCCTTTGCTCCCGCATCACGCCATATATATAGTACCACGATCATGAATGTTCAAGAGTTGCATGCTTTGCGTACGTACATCAACCTCCGCTCGGACAAGTGTACAGTCCTACTCTGAAACTACATCTAACAGAGACTTTATACTGATAGCGTCTTCAGCTCTTAATCTTTTCATCATCATCATCAAATCCATGTTGGAATAATAATCCAAAGATTAAAATTCATGTTTTCACGAATGTAAAGACAGAAGTCAGTCTGTACAACACAAAACAAACATGTGCTTCAAAGACGTTTATCAATAATTGTGGTCACAAAATAAGCTTAACAATAAACAAGCGATTCTCAAATTTGATTAGAAGTGAAACAAGAACCAACAACTACATGTTTCATCATAGTTGCATACTTGCATACACGCATTACAAGTAAACTAAAAGAAGACACGTTCATGTATTCATTCATTCATCAGAGAGTAGCAGCAAGAACCTTCTCGGCATTATATAATGATGCAGGGAATGTAAGCACATGACCAAACCACTCAACTTTCCCCCAAATTTTACAACTGTTGCGCCTTTCAAGCGCAATCTCCGCACACCAAATCTTCCTCTTATTGCCGCCACCAGGACCAAAACAACTCACATCCTCGTGCCACAAAACCGCCCCATCTTTCCACCATAATCAGCCAATCTAATCCTTTTAGAACCACGAGTGAGCTCAGGTAGTCTCTTCAAACCCTCCAAACCTCTCCACGATCTTACCTCAGTGTCATACCATCTCAACACTCCATTAAGAGCAGAGTACAAAACGTTATTTATCACGCAACAAGCAGCTGAATCCATATACCAACCCAATCTCCCATCGCCAACAATGTCCCATCTACCTTCGTTGGAATCATAAGCAACAACCGTATCTTCGTGAGTCATCGCGTGCAACTTCCCGTCAAAACATGCGGTTTTGCTGTACAACTTGTATTCTGTCTCGATGGGCGGCACATGATCCCAAATTTGGGTTTTTTGTGTCGAACACATCTAACAAGTTCTTAAAACTGAAATTCCCAGCTTTGTAGCTACCTGCTACATATATCTTTTGATCAAGGACGCTAGCAGAGAGTGTATAGAGTTCAACCGGCAAGCTTGGAGCCTCGCTCCACTTATGAGACTGGCAATCCAGTATGGAGACGTTAGAGAAAGACCACTCAGAGGCAGCCACGGAGGAAAGGGATCCGCCAATGTTGTAGATACTAGAACCAACAGCCACTAGACCCGAAAAGAGCGCACGAGGAGAGTTGGAAAATTGGGACTTTAGCCAAAACATACCCACTTGACTCTTTCTTCTTCTTCTTCTTCTTCTTCTTCTTCTTCTTCTTCTTCTTCTTACTGGTTTCATTGGTTATGGTTTGATCAGGTTTCCGGCAGAGAGTGAACCAGGTAGGTTTGTCACCAAAACAACGTAAGCACACATAGAGACAGCTCTCGGTGTGTCCCAAGAGTGACCGGGTCTTGTAAAGCTCTGGTGAAGCAATGAGAGATCGAAAGCTCTTGGAGACGAGGGAGAGCGTGGGATAGTACAAACCTTGAGACACGTGCGATGCAGTTCAATAGCAAATCATAGGGAAGCGATGGAATAGGGGTCGATTGCGGCGTCGAAGGAGGCTCCTTCCTCTTCTTCTTCCTCTTGTTTTTTCCCGGCGGGGACGACATTAATTGATGGAATTGACTGAGACGAAAAAATCTCGTTAGGTTAGGGTTTTGTATAACAACAGACCATATCGCGTAAGTGAACAACACGTAAGGTTATAAAAACAACTCGGCTTTATGGGCCGTTACTTTTCATATGAAAGTTGTTGAGCTTTATGGGACGTTACAAAATTGATAATATGAATGAGAGTGAGACCAAAGTTTTTTCTTATACTTTTAGATCTCTTAAAACAGAAGAATAATTACTTTAGTTGGTATCTAATTTTGTCGCCAGAATTATTAATATCTATATGAACTTTGGTTTTACATGTTTACAGATTTGTTTAAAATCAAAATTAATATAAGCCAAACAGATATATGGAGATGAATCAAACTACACAAAAATGAAAAATTAAACTGAAATAAGTTTGGTTAAACATTAAAAAGTTTCTCCCAAGTTCATTGCTGTAGATTTCAAACATTAATCATTCTAATTGATCCAAAAACATTTTCAATTGAGTTCATTGCTGTACTTTCACTGATCTAGAATTTAGTTCTCAAGGGTTCGAGGCTTTGTTCTACCGAGCTTTAGTCCTTAATTAATTTTGACATTGCCGTAGTGGTTCCCATGGAGGTGTATAAGAAACTGAGAAGATTCGTGTGCCAAAAAGTGAATCTCCTCACCTTGGAATTTCGAAGATACTAGAGATTCGCCGTGGAGAAGAAGGAGAATTCAGGGAAAAGCAGAGATGATGAAGAAGGTCGTCGGTTTTGGTTATTAGGGGGGTATTAGGCTACGTACGAGACTGCATGCACAAATTCTATAGTGATTGTATTGATAAATGGCTTTCCATGAGTGCACCATGTTTCTTTTGTTTTGCATGCAATATCTGAATCTGATAGTATCTTATAAAACTAATGGATTTATCTTTCAAAATAGGAATATCCGTGCTTAGGAAAATGAGAGAAGCTGCCAAAGCTAGAAAACGGATTAGTAAAATCTACCATCTCTTAATTAAGACCATAGCCAACCAAAATCAGCTAAACTAATTTAACTAAAGAAATATTCATTTTAGCCAAGATATTGGAAAGCAACCATTTATTCAGTATCCCTCTTTATATGTTGTTGGATGTTCAATGTGGAGCATAGCGTGAAGGATACGTTTATGGCATCTTTTGATATCATCTTCTCTCACTAAGTCCACTTTTGATCTGATCTACTATCTGTATGGAATGTTGTGTGTTTTTAAAACTGCATCGTGGTATTTTCGCATTAATTAATATTTTATTTTTGATACAAATAGATAAACTAAAGACTGGAGAAAATGACGTGTGCTACATAATATTATTGTGGGAGAGAGATCGTCAAGTTGTTGTGCTTGACTACTTAGTTTACTTTCTATTTTAATTTTATTTCTTATTATAAACCCATTTCATAACATTATTGAAGTATAATTTTACTAAATTAACAAGAAAGTGACGCACGAAATGGCGTAATTTCCTCCCCTGGACCACATGCATCTATAAGTACACAATAAAACGATGTCAACGAGTCATTTTAGTATTATTTACTTAAAAAAACATTTTCCTTTGGTACCAATAATTACATTAGTACAAGTATAGTTTAAGCAACATATTTATTATTATTTGAACTCGGAAACTATAAATAAAATATCAGAGCAGTGACATAATCACATGGGTATTTTTTGACATAATCACATGGGGTATTATACTATTATTAGTACTACTATATCCGGTGGATTGAGGATTTAAATATAAAATTCAGAGATATTTAAATTTTGCAAAAAATAAATTCAACGTGCAAATGTTCATCTTGGTCAAGAGAGAACGTGCACGAAAGTTACTAGTAACTTTAGAGATTTCAACATTTTAAAAATCGATTTAACAAAGGCATTAGCACTCACGCGCTCCAATTCGCGAGTCAGCCGACAATTTCGCTTGTTGTTATTGAGTTAAAATATAAATAAAGTAATTTAAATTGCCGCTTCGCATCTCGTGAATGATTCACGTTAAACAAAAAAACTGACTGGTGACTGGGAGGGGACATAAAATAACGCACGTTTCTGGACACGTGTCAAACCACAAAAGAAACGCCAAACACAGAAATCTCACTGCACGACGATGCACGTGCCTTTTTGACCGACTATATCCGGTAACATAAACCCGACCAGCCTGTAGCTGCATTTTGCGCCAATAGCAGAGGAGAAAAAGGAATCTTTTTCGTTTATTTATTTAGTAGGGAAAAAAAACTCAAAATAGTATTAAATTATTATTTAATCGTGCTGTTCACATGTCGTATGCGATGGTTAAAAAGAGAAATCGCGGTGTGTGTGTTTAACTTCATTCCACGTTTTTCATTTTTTTTTCCCCAAACTCTCGTTTGTTCCCTTTTCCGGCGACGCTTAATCGTATTTATTGTTTTCCAGATAGATATTTGTGTTTGAGTTCGGCGTTTTAATCGTTCGAGGTTTGAGATCGAATTGTTCTGTATCGTTGTGGTTTCTCTGCGGCTTTGTATAGATGGAGAGAGATTTTCTCGGCCTGGGTTCGAAAAATTCTCCGATCACTGTGAAGGAGGAAACCAGCGAAAGCTCTAGAGATTCAGGTTATTCCTCTTCAGTTTTTCTTTTCTTCTTCCACTGAATCAGTTGGTTTTAAATCTCTCAAGCTAATTCTTAAACCAAATCATCGATTTTCAAAGGATGAATTATGCGTTAGGAGTTAGTACTAGATTGGGATTTTGATTTTGGAACCCGGATTTTATGGCTTGCTCGGGAGCTGGATTGTCAGTTTGTATCTTGGTGGAGAACATTTTCCTTCGCTTTCTCGAGAAACGAACCGAGGATTTTGGATTTTAGGAAAAACAAATTTTAGGTTGTATAGTTTTACTGTTTTAGATAGCCTTTAGGTATCGGAAATTATTTTTTGTTAAAGTAGGTATCGGAAATTACCGAGAACAAATTTGAAGGTAGCGTTTTGTTACACAATCATACTCGGTAAGTTTTTTTATTTACAAGCTGCATAATTTTACTCTAGGGGGTATTTTGTTTTGAGGAGTGTGATTAAGAAAAAAATATAGTTTAATTAAAGATTATTCTAAAAAAGAATACGTAAAATGTTGGTAAAGAAGGGGTTGAACAGAGACGGGTACAGAAATAGAAAAAAAAAATAGAGACGGTTGGTAGTAGGTAGAAGATTAATTATACACAAAATTGCAAGGTGGGATTACTTTATAAGATGATTAAATATTGATTGTGTGTTGATTAAGTGAAACTGGCGTAGGGTATTTAAATAATGCGAGGTACAATGAGAATGACTACTTTTCTTACCACGAGGAATTAAAATTATGTCCACTTTGTTTTCTTATAAGCCAAAAACGTGCCATTCCATAAAAGTAGTGCATCGACATGTGCTGTGTGGATTTAAAGTTGAATCTCTCTTTAATTTTATTTTTTAAACTTGAATTTTTTTTAAATTATAGTAGTTTCGTACATTGGTTTTGAATAAATGTTTTAAATTAGAAATGGTTTCTAAGGTGGTTTTGTTGCCTCGTTGAATTTGTAAACAGTATCAGATTCTTTTTACATAGTTGGTGAATTTTTAATTCTTTTTATTGGGTTGGGTTTTGAATTAATCGTCTGTTGATTATGTAAGATCTTGGGTCATTTATGATTAACAGTTATTACTCCTTGTCTGACTTTAAACTGATGGAAGTTCTATTGTCTCCTTATTTTTCTATTGCAGCTCCAAATAGAGGAGGAATGAATTGGTCATTCTCAAACAAAGTCTCTGCTGCTTCTTCTCAGTTTCTATCTTTCAGGCCATCCCAAGAAGACAGACATAGAAAGTCTGGAAATTTTCATCTTGCACACTCTGGTTCCTTCATGCCATCATCAGTTGCAGATGTGTATGATTCAAACCGCAACACTCCTTACAGTTCTATACAGGTATTTGTCATCAAGACCAGGTTGATTTGGGGCTTATAGACCCATGTGCCCTTTAAAGTTAGCCCTGTGGAACAAGTTTCTGTTGTGGTTCCACATCGATCAACCCTGTTGTTGATAGTTAATGCTAATTGGTTTTTGCATCTAGTCTTGGTTTAATAGTGATTGATTTTGAGTGTAAGCGAAGCCTCTTATTATTAATTAAATAGGTTAAACAGTTCCCTTAGACTGATGTTATGGCTTGTTGCTTTCAGGGAGTCAGGATGTTCCCAAATTCCAATCAACAGGAAGAAACTATCGCAGTTTCCATGTCTATGCCGCCACTCCAGTCTCATTATGCACCAGGAGGAAAAAGCTTCATCAGCAATAACATAAATTCGCAACCTTTGGTCGGAGTTCCTATCATGGCACCTCCAATTTCAGTCCTTCCTGCTCCAGGATCCATTGTAGGGACAACTGATATTAGGTACCAACTGGTTATCTTTTGTCTGTTAGTCACCTTATCATGAATTATATCTACACACTCTCTGTAGAGGCTTCTACAAATAGTTGACTAACGACTATTACTATTGTCAGATCTCCTTCCAAGCCATTAGGATCACCTGCTCAGCTGACAATATTTTATGCCGGTTCAGTTTGTGTTTATGATGACATTTCTCCTGAAAAGGTAGCTTAATTACTTTCTCTCATATATGTGTTTCTTTTTTTCCTGCAAATTATGGCTCATTTGCTTAATAATATCATTCTGCCATTACAGGCCAAGGCGATAATGTTGCTAGCTGGAAACGGTTCATCATCTATGCCTCAAGCCTTTTCACCACCTCAAACTCATCAACAAGTAGTCCATCATGCTCGTGCCTCTGTTGATTCTTCAGCTATGCCTCCCAGCTTCATGCCTACAGTCTCTTATCTTAGCCCTGAAGCTGGTAGTAGCACAAATGGACTCGGAGCATCGAAAGCAACAAGAGGCTTTACATCAACATACCACAACAACCAAACTAATGCATCCATTGTCAACTGTTCAGTTGCAGTTTCTTGTTCTACCAATGTAATGGCTCAAACAGGTAAAGTGAAGTTTACTTTTATACCTGATGCTAAATTAGCTTACTACTTACTATATTTATAAATGGCTGAAGGTTCAATCTCGTTCTGTTTTTTTTTTTTTTAATGTAGTGGCTTTACCTCAGGCTCGCAAAGCATCTCTGGCTAGGTTCTTAGAGAAACGCAAAGAGAGGTGCACAAACAATTCTTCACATGATAAACCAATTAATTGTTTCTTGACCTAACTCTCTCAGTGTTGGTTTCGCAGGGTCACAAACATATCGCCATATTGCTTAGACAAGAAGTCATCAACAGATTGTCGGACACCAATATCTGAATGCATAAGTTCTTCTCTCAGCTCTGCAACCTAATCTCGTTTGCAGTAAGACTGGTTCAGACCAGTCCAGACCCATCTTTGCATTTTCTCAGTTTATCTTTTTCTTTTTGTTACAGAATTTGGCTACACCGAAAATTTTTCTTAGCTTATATATTTTTAGTATAATTTTTTTTCTCTTGCTACACTGGGTTTCTTCTTGGCCTTATATACTATAGTGTATACTTCATTTATCAGATTTTGATTGAATGGAACTTGTAAGAGCAAATCAGATATGTACTTCGGAAATTAGTAGAAACTGTTAGTTTTTGTCTTTAGTCTTTGTTATATATTACTCAAGCTCGCATTTGTATTGCATTTGTATTTTTCATACCTTGGAATCGGATCCTAATCAGTTTAAATCATGCTGTCTCTACAGGTTTAAATCAGGTTTCCTAATGGAGTATAGAATATGGATTAGTTTTCAAACGATGATTGAAGTATTGTAAACCATATACCATCGAAAAAGAAAAAAAATTAACAAGATAGACTTGATATCAAAATCAGACGTTACAAATAAATCTGACGTTAAAAACATATATATATACTGATCAGATGCCGGAGGTGCCAAATGACGACGGTGGCGAGGTCGACTATGATGTTTGTTAAAGCCTAATCATGTTTGTGATTCTCTTTATTTAAGTTTGTGTTAATTATGTTTGTATTATTGGATAACAATCTTTTATTTTGGATGTTCTGGTTGTTGTCAAATACTGTACTCCTTGCTACCATATTGTAAATGATTAAATGTTGATATAGCATAATACAAGCTATATAAACAAAAAGTAAAGTAGATACCTGAATTTCAGATCAATTGTATGCTTCAAGAACACATACACCTCCACAATGGCAACATAGAGGAGAATAACTACGTTATACGTATTTAAAAAAAATTCATAGTGTACAGAAATAGTACATGCAAAATTTAAATGGTTTTTAGATTAAGCAAATCTAAATGAATGTACATTTGTAAGAAAAACTCATGGGTTGCAGTTTTGTATCTCATTAATACCATATACCCTAATGCATATGAACATGTCACTTTCACATGATCATGCAGTCTAACTTTATTCACATAATCTAATACGATTTATAATTTTTCCATGTTAAAGCTAGTTAGAATCAGCTTCATAAATTTTTATACTGGGTGATCTCCACAAATATCATCTCTTTTACATTAATTACATGAATGTTTCCATATTTTGTGAAAATAATGAAATTGTTTTTTTTTCATAATGACACACATTATTATTTTTATAGAGTATAAAATTTGAAACACAACAAAGTTGAAGATTAACCAACGGTTGGTAGTGTGATAATAGGAAAGTTGATTGGTGCTATGTGTTTTAACATAATACCGAGTTGTGAGAGGTTTTGATCACCAATTTGAATAAGTAACACTTAAGTCTGATATAATTCAGATGACCATTTTGATCACCCATTTGAATAAGTGACACCTAAGTCTGATATAATTCAGATGACCATTGGAGATGGTGGCGAGATGGTAAGGATCATGCAGTTTAACTTTATTCACATAATCTAGTATGTTTTATAGTTTGTCCATGTTAAGGCTAGCTAGAATCATCTTCATATGTAGTCATTACGATCATATGTAGTCACTAGGATGTTTTTTAATGGTGTAGCATAAAAAGGTTGGATGAAATATTTTAAAAGTGTCACTGATCTCTACATCCAATCGCTTTATCAAACAGAAAATCACATTTAAGTTTGTGATTTGATTTGATATAAGAAATAAAATATTTTCAATCATCAAACAAGGTTGTACATGTCGAAACCTGGGTAAACATACCATGAAAACTTAACGAAAACTAACAAAATGTCAAAATAAATTTTGAAAGAAACGAAAGCAGCTCCTAAAACAAGTATAACCAGCTGAAAGCCAAAACAATTTTGATCTGACATCTGCTAATCACTTCAAGTCTCACAAAATATTTATTAATCCAAAGACATGATAAAGGAAGCAAAAGAAACTATAATGCTAATTGGACCATAAACAAACAAAAAAAATGATCATTGGACACCAAACACCATAATTCAACGCCTCTACCAAAATACTGGGTGATGCTCTATATTCGTTTTCTCCTCCAACAATCGAAGAAGGAATTTATGTTTTCATCACATCTCACGATTCCTTGTATGGTAATGAGGTTTTAAATATACTGTTAAGAACTTGCTCTACTACTCGTCCTTGTATGGTATTAAAAAAATAATGAGGTTTTAAATATACCATTAAGAACATGCTATACTACATTAAACACGTATAGACAGAGTCTATCATAAAAATAAATTATTCAAAAATAATTTTAATTTTTTGCAACAATAATTTTAAATATATGGTTAAAAGTTCTTAATTATTCTTTCTATCAACATTATTGCTTCACAGGTTAAAATTTTTTCTTCTAATATAATAACTTAAAAAATGTATTAATTTTCCATATTACAAATTTACAATATGGATTAGTTTCCTAATATAAAATATGGATTAGTCTTCAAGCGATGATTGAAGTGTTGCAAACTATATACCATCGGAAAAAACAAAAAAAACAAATAAACCTGATATTAAAAACCAGACGTTAACCGGTACACAGCGACAATGATAGTTTCGGTTTCGGCTCTGTCGAACACAAACTAATTCTACAATCGAATCAACCGATACCATACGCCGAGACACGCCGAATCGCTCTGCACCGGTTAATTCTCACCGTACGATCGATCGTAAGGAGGAGCTGAAGGATTCATTCTCATCATTGCTTCAAGCTTTTTTCTTACGAGAGGACTAGTCACTAGAGGGAGACGACTAAAAAGGGTCGGACTATGATGGATGCGAATCAGGTAGCTGAGCTGCGAAGATTCGTCCAACAGCTGAAATCGAATCCCTCGATTCTTCACGATCCTTCTCTGATCTTCTTCAAGGATTATCTCCGGAGGTTGTTGATTCTTCTTCTCTCACTTCATTTTCTTTTCCGATCGATGAATTTCATTCGTCTGTAGAATTTTCCATGTGCTGGTGTGAGTTTCTGATCAATGTTTGTTCCCGTTTTCTTTTACAGTTTAGGAGCTCAAGTTCCCAAGTTAGAGAAAACTGTAAGTATGAATATCTGGTCATGATTGTTCTTGTTTGTGCTACCTGGGTTTTGCCTTCTTAACATCTTGGTATTGTTCCCAGCGAGAATTGATTGATCGATGGTTTTCTTTTGTATGTCACACTTAATGATGATCCATAATGTAGGAAAAAGATTTTGAAGATGCTGAGACTAAACCCAGTTTCTCTCCTAATCTTGATGATGAAATTACCGAGTCTGATGTTGAACTGGACAATTCAGATTTAGTTGAACCAGACAATGAGCCTCCTCAGCCGGTACGTGGTGAAGAAATCATCTTTGGATATGAACTAGTGGTTGTCTCTATGCAAATCTTCCGTGATCGTTTGATTTCTTTCCTTCTTTCTTTCTTTCTTTCTTTCTTTAGATGGGAGATCCTTCAGCTGAAGTGACGGATGAAAATAGGGATGCTGCTCAGTCAGAGAAGAGCAAAGCTATGGTGGCAACCTCCGATGGTACATAACCATTGAAATTCTTGCGTTTATTACTTCATAGGCTTTCCACATGGTTTCGTTAACGCTTGATCGGCATCCAGGAAAGTTCGACGAAGCTATAGATCATCTAACAAAAGCTATCATGCTAAACCCCTCTTCAGCAATTCTCTACGCCACCAGAGGTAACCTTCTTTTACTCTCTCTCTCTCTCCTTTTTCAACCAAATGTGGGTGGTCTTTCTGAATATTTTTAGTTTGTATTCTCCAGCTACTGTGTTTCTAATACTTAAAAAGCCAAATGCTGCAATCCGCGATGCAAACGTGGCTTTACAGGTGAGCATTTACTTGAGTCACATAAACGTATTCAGTTTGTGTAGAAGATTAAATTGGGAAAGCAAGGTTATGTCTCAAAAGTTTTATGGTTTGGGGTGGGGAAAGTAATTTACCATCTCAATGGTTTTCTTCCATACACTAGCTAAACTAGTTTATTTTATGGGTTAAGTTCAATCCTGATTCAGCCAAGGGGTACAAAGCACGAGGTATGGCTATGGCCATGTTAGGCCGATGGGAAGAAGCTGCGTCTGATCTTCATGTAGCATCAAAATTAGATTACGACGAGGAGTTGGAGTCGGCCCTTAAGAAGGTAACTATGGAAATATGCTCATTGGCTCATCATGAAGTTAAGTAAAGATTAAGTTCTACTGTACCAAAAATATGATGTATACTTCACAGGTTGAACCCAATGCAAAGAAAATTGAGGAACACCGAAGGAAATATCAACGTCTGATGCAAGAAAAGGAACTCCAAAGGGCTGAACGCAAGAGACGAGAACAGCAAGAAGCCCAGGTAAGACTGACCCATACCCATGATTAGTGATTCTTATATAATGATCTTGCGTAGCTCCCTGTAAATAATATTACATTCTTTGCAAAAAGCATATATGCCTGGTTATCTTCTTCTTGTGAGAGTAACAACCTCCTTTTGAGATTATCAACCTCATATCATATCAAACATCTCACGCTGCACTGATTTGGTTCTCTTGAATCCTACCAATGCAGGAACGAGAAGCTCTGGCTGCATTCAAAGACGGTAAACATTCTATCCTTTTCTTTCAATAGTTCTTTACTTCATAATTTTACTCCAAATGAACCACGTTTGCGTCAGAACTGCACTCAATCAAAGCTCAATAAGCTTTTGTTAGCCACTAAATCCAGTTGATTAGGCCGCTAACCAGCTTGCTTAAGATTGTTTATCCCGTTCCTCCAGTTTCATGTGCATTACTTCCCTGAAAAATTATGCAATTCCAAACCAGAACCATAACCTCTCAACAAAATCAAATTTAGGGGATGATTTAGTGGAAACTCATGGTTTATTGACCGCCAGTTCCTCAGGATTTTCTATGCTGATCACAAGTATGAGACCCATTGTATCCACAGTGAGAAAAGCAACTTGCATATATCTTGGATCTCTATCATCCTCACAGAGTTTCATTTACAGCTTTTATAGAACCAAAAACGACATATACATGTGAAATAGGAGATAACCATCAATCTCTTCTCCCTGCTGATACAGGACAAGTGATTAGCATCCACTCCACAAGCGAGCTCGAAGCAAATACAAAGGCCGCAAATAAGGCATCACGTCTGCTAATCCTATACTTCACAGCCACATGGTGTGGACCGTGCCGTTACATGTCTCCGCTGTACTCAAGCCTGGCCACGCAACACCCGAGAGTCGTCTTCTTGAAAGTTGACATAGATGAGGCCAACGACGTGGCTGCGTCTTGGAACATTAGCAGCGTCCCGACGTTTTGCTTCATCAGAGATGGCAAACAGGTAGACAAAGTTGTCGGAGCTGATAAAGGTTCGCTTGAGCAGAAGATTGCACAACACTCTTCTTCAAAGTAATGGTTTACTCGTTTTTCTCTCTTCTCCTATTGCTTCTCTCTTCTGGTTTTGGGAGCTTAATATGGTACTTCTGTCTAGAGAGTTTTCGTGCTGTATCTTTGCAACACAACTGTTGTCTCATAATGTAGCACAACATTTTTAAGTATTTGTAATCGTGTACATGTGGTTTCCTAATTCCATTGGTATGGTGTTGGCTCAGGGTTATGTTATATGTCCCAGAATTGAAACTACATCTTTGATGAACGAAAAGTCTTTAAATTTTCGTTTCCTGAACCAAATCTTTTTCTATACACGTTAATATACAGACTATACAGTACAGTGATAATATAAAACCAGAGCGGCGGATACAGAACCGGTTCGACCGGTACATAGCTGAAAAAGCTGTACTTGCGCCGGCGTAGAGTGATGAGTGATGAGCTGATAGATTTGGGTTTTAATTATATTAATGGGCTCAGCTTTAGGCCCAACAAAGGTGCAGTTTCTTGATTTCAAGAGTCGGGGGAGAACGAAGGGGTCAATTTAATGGATGGGAATATGAGGCGATTACCGCCGTGGATGCTCGCCGGCGCGTCCTCCGATGTAACATCTACAAGCAATAGAACGGAAGGCAAAAGTGTAGAGGGCAAAAGAAAATTTGAACCAGAAGCTACCAAGACAAAGGCCGAGAAACGACCGAGAAGAACCGTAAAACCCGAAGACAGAGATGATTTTGAGGAACCAAAAAAGGTGGGAATCAGGAGAAGAGGAAAACGAGCTCGTATCGCAGAAGAAGAAGCCAAGCCTAGCATTGTTAATTGCAAGGATCCCGAGAATTTTCAATCCATGTCTGGTCCAGAGGACGAGGATCTCACAGTTGATGACTTATTAAGCTTTGCTCAAGAGGTAATGCGATTAAGTTTTTGCTAATTAGTGATTTTGTGAATTTGCTTGTTCTTTTCTGCTTACAACATGAATTAACAGTATGTTAAAGAAGGTGAAGAAGACCAGACAAGAAAAGAATTGTCAGTATCTGAATCTGTTGATGAACCAAACATGAGATCATCTCAAAGAGAAGAATCGATTGAACCAGATCAAACAGCAACTGACATGTTAGAATTGCTACTGGGTCCTTACTTCAAGAAATCTCAACACTAAGCCACAGTCAATATTTAAAACATGGATGGAATCAGAATTGGCCTTCTACATTCTGTAATTTTTTTTAGATTTTTAAAGTCTTTTCCTTCTAAGTATTCCACTTTGTCTCATAACGTTTTCGTTTTGTTTCCAGTATATATGATAAAAGTTTCATCTGCTTTTTTGTATATACGGTTTTATTATGAAAGACAGAGAAAAAAAAAGTACTAGTGATGAAGATAATGTACGAGCAACCGAGTTCATAAGCCGAGGGAAAACGGCAAGCGAAAGCATTAGTGCTCCTGAAATTATTTCTCAATATTGGCAACTAAAAGGACCGAAGCACCACTTTCTCAAGCGCATCAGTGACGTGCTGCCTTTCATTTCAACTCAATTACAAAAACACGACATAACTTCATAGACACAGAGAAGCAAATGAAGCTTTCATCATATATACCAGAAATAGCTTTAGACTGGAGTTTCGATCACACTAACTAACGATGACCTAACTGGATATGTAGGCAAGTATATATACTGCCGGCCACATCTTGAAAACCCTAATTCTTCGCTTCGTGATGCCCTTATTGACTAACGGGCCTGTTTATTATTTCTTTTATTGGGCTTTCCAATTTTGTTGTGGGTTTTGTTAATAAGCATAATTTAGCTAAAACTACTTTGTTTGTTCATTAGTAGATGATATTAGAGGTTAGCTTCACTGCACCAAATGCCTTTGTATTTATTAATTACTAATTACTAGAAGTGGTTAACTTAAAAATTCACATGATGCATCTACTCACTTACTCTTTTTCCCTTTGAATGTGAAGCCTGCTTAGTTTTCAGGTTTATGATTTGATTAAAGCCCAAAGATGTTTCAATGAACCTTTAGGCTAAAAGTTTAAGAAAACATAGCAAATGTAAAGTAAGAAGAAGATTAAACCTAATCAATTTTTTTTTTCATAAGTTTTTTTTTTAACGCAAAGACGAAGTTCATTGGTATAACACTAACAACTAGACTACCAGTTCATTGGTAAAACTGTTTTTTTCCCGTATCACACCAAAACCGAAATTAAACCAGCACTATAAAAATCAAATACAGTTTACTAAAAGTGAGTTCTTGTAATCACATTTACTAAACCAGTTTGAATAGTTTTCATTCACTTATGAAATTTTTGTAGTTTCTAAACGCTCTTCAAAACTTTCTTTTAGTGCTACAACAGCATACCTAATTTGTAAATTTTTGCGTAAAAAGAAAAAACTTAGTAATTTCGTCATTTGAAAATGAATTTTTGGAGGTGGGATAAAAATGTTTTAAGGAAAAATAGAAATTGATCATGAAGTGCTAAGGAATATAGCTGTGCCTGTATGTTTGCCCAAAGGTGTTTATCTCTCATCTATTGGACGAAGATCTCTCTTATCACTGCGCTTCCTACGCAGACATCTCCCTGCAATCCACAGATCACCCTGCAATCCATAGATCGAATTGAGATCAAAACTGCTTCAGGTATCAGCTCGAACATCACAAGTAAAGAGTAGCTTGTCTGGTCTGGTCTTATCGTGCATTCTTCAATTTTGAGTCGTGTAAGTATGATTTGGATCTGCTGCGTTATCGATTTCGTTTTTTCCTCTCTTGGGGGTTGGATCCAGTCAAGAGATTTTAGAGATGCGAGGAAGTTGGGATTGGCGATAAATCTGTAAAGTTTATGGAGAGAGAGAAAGAGAGAGAGGATTAATGGGGATTAGATAAACTAAAATCCTGACTTTAAAATCGCTTAACCGATGAATCTGCAGAAATTGACTAAACTTAGGCATCTTCTCTGATGCAGTTTCTGGGTTCTGAGGAATGAATTTCTTGCTTCGATCTACTTCCTCCGCTACTCATCGACCGCCCGTGAGCGAACCACCAGCTACGCCACCTCAACCTCCGCCGGAAACAACGAAGCCCGGAGCCACTTTGGAGGGTCTTATAGCCGAAGAGCCTTTCCCTCAATATCCATCAGTAGAGGATCATTTAGATCGTGTCCCTGACGGTGATGGTAACGGAGAGTCAAATGCAATGAATGGTGGCTCTGGCATGGAGAGATTCTCAGATGTGTCTGAAGAAGATGGCTGGATCGCAATTCCCTATAGTATAATTTGCTCTCTACACTTCAGTTTTCAGTTTTGGTTTTGCAAATACTCAATTTTGAATGTCTTTTCTACTTAATCCTGATGTGGTTTTGTTTCTTATTACAGAGGAAATCCCGGATAACTGGTCTGAGTCTGTTGATATTCATTCATTACGCTCCCTGGATCGTTCCTTTGTTTTTCCTGGTATGTTACACAATCTCAGACCTTCTCATCAATTTGCGTTTAAACTGCCACTAGCTATTGAACATCGAAGACATTTTCTACTTTAGGGGAACAGATTCAGATCCTAGCATGCTTAGCTGAAAGTAAAGGAGACACAGAGATTATTACCCCTTTTAAAGTTGCTGAGGTAATGAGCAGAACTGGACAGAGAAAGGTCTCTGACAAACAAAATGGAGATATGTCTGATGAGGCGAGTACACCATCAGGGGATGGGGAAATGAGCCCCGACGGTCAATTTGCAGCTCAGAATGGGGACAGCCCTGGTAAAGAGAGTTTGGATTCGCAAAAGGACGTATCTGATGGCGAATCAATATTGAGGATGGAAGATCATAAGAGACGAACAGAAGACTTGCTTTCCAGGTTTCAGAAGTCTCATTTCTTTGTTAGGATTGCAGAGTCTGGTGAGCCACTTTGGTCAAAGAAAAGCTCTCTGGTCGCAGATACAGAGTTAGACCAAAAGAGGGAAAGCGGCAAAAGAAGACCTTGTGTTAGTGCCTTTGTAGATAGAGGAGACTTCGATCCTAATGTTTCTGGAGGTGTAGCTAGAAGTAAGGCAAAGTGCTGTGCCTTGCCCAATGGAGACATAGTGGTATGTGATAGTAATTTTGTTACTTTATGGTTTGCTGATAAGACTAGGGTAGTCGGTTTGAAATGATACATGAACCAGTGAAATTCCTTTTTTTTTCTGACGTAATGCATTGTCTGATATATGTCAGTTTAGCATGCCACTCGTTCAAATTTTCTGAGTGTTTAATACATTTTATAAGAAGTTGATTGACCTACTGATTTTCACACAACACCTTTGTTTGGAAGGATGCAGGTCTCTTTACAAGTTTATATTGTCGACTGTCCCAAAGAACCTATCATTGAGATACTGCAGTTTGAGAAGCATCAGGACAGGGACGGATTTTCCGAGAACGATAAAGACTCGGATCATGAAAACAAGGATCCATATGGGAATCTTTTAAAATGGTTGATACCGTTGGATAACACTATTCCTCAGCAATCCCGTTCTTTACCACCTCCTATAAGCTCTAGTCCAGGTATCAGCAGCACTGCACACAAGTCCGCACTTTCTTCTGCCTCAGGCTCTCAACTATTCTCATTCGGCCATTTTAGAAGCTACTCCATGTCCTCTCTACCTCCAAACACTGCACCAGTTTCTGGACCCATAAAAACTCAGAGCTCTAAACCATCATTTGATATTGAAGATTGGGACAGTTACTCAGGTCAAACCGTACGAAACGGTCAGAAGTCTGGGACTGAAGAGCTCTTATCTTTCCGGGGTGTCCCGTTGGAGCGGGATAGGTTCTCTGTTCGTTGTGGACTTGAAGGCATATTCATTCCTGGTAGAAGGTGGAGGAGGAAACTCGAAATCATTCAACCTATTGAGATAAATTCTTTTGCAGCTGACTGCAATACAGATGATCTTCTCTGCGTTCAGATAAAGGTGCGTCTCTGCAGCGCTGTTTAATATTGGTGTTACTGTGGTCAATTGATCTCTGGGATGCATCTTAAATTTGCCCTTTTTGTTGGCAGAATGTGGCTCCTACCCACACTCCAGATATTGTAATATACGTGGACGCCATAACAATTGTTTTTGAAGAGGCAGGGAAAAGCGCCTCTCCTTCTTCAGTACCAATTGCATGTATTGAAGCTGGAAACGAGCACAGTTTGCCGAATTTAACTCTCAGGTTAGCTTATTTTACTATAGAACCTCACAGATGTTTCTTGTGAGAGGAACTCCCCTTTAACGAGCATAGTGGGTACTAAAACCAAAGCTAGAGTGCTCCTTTCAGGAACATTAGAGAGTGCAACTTACCTACCGTTAGTTTTTCTTGCAACGTTTCAGGAAAGGTGAGGAGCACTCGTTCATCGTGAAGCCTGCCTTTTCTGTTGGGAGTAATCTGAAGCCCTCTGCTGCAAGAAAAGAACTCAAATCATCGAGTTTGTCTCTTCCAACTGTAAATTTTGAAAGAAAAGGGAGCGGTTTAAGTGGTGATCAGTATGCGGTTATGGTGTCATGTCGATGCAACTACACAGGTAAATCCTCGATTCAATGGTTTGTAGCCATGTTTTTTCCTCTCTTCTGTTCAGATATATTGCTTTTTCTTTAATGCTTTTTTCTTTTTGTTGGATTCAGAGTCAAGGCTGTTTTTCAAACAACGAACAAAGTGGAAACCACGAGTTACAAGGGACCTGATGATCTCTGTTGCGTCTGAAATGTCAGGAGAGCCTTGTGGCCCCCATGGGAGGGCCTCCCAGCTGCCTATTCAGGTCATTCTCTCCCTCTCTCCCTCTATCCCTCTGTGACTATCTCTAGAATTTCAATGTTACTATGCATGAACTAATGGAAGACGTTAGCAGCTGCAAGTAACTGCTAGTGTTTACCCAAATCACTCGAGCTTTATTCAGATGTTGTCACTAACACTAACTTGTGGCTAGTAGTTGTGCCCTTCCCAATGGCGTCTTTTATTTTTTGTACCTCATGCTTTTCTCTCTACTGGTTCAGATTTTAACTCTTCAGGCATCCAATTTGACATCTGAAGATCTGTCTTTAACCGTTCTCGCTCCAGCATCCTTCACATCACCTCCGTCTGTGGTGTCCCTAAATTCCACGCCTACCTCCCCTTTAAGCCCATTCCTAGGGTTCTCTGAGTTCACAGAGAGGGTACAAAGCGAGAAACGCAACACAACAATGCGTAAACTGAACTCACTACCCCCAATTCCACTGGAGACAAGGACAGAGAACACAAGTGGTGAACTGAATTCTGCTTCTTCCAATCCTCCAGATGTTGTTCCAAAGAGCGGCTTAGGCTGCACACATCTCTGGCTACAAAGCCGAGTTCCCTTGGGGTAAACTTATAATAAAAATATCCAATTCAGTTTTTCTTCTGGTTAGTTTTTATCATTATAAATCGATAACCGGATTCTACTTTCTAAATGCATCAGATGCGTTCCTTCGAAATCTACAGCAACGATCAAGCTAGAGCTACTCCCTTTGACTGACGGCATAATCACACTTGATACTCTCCAAATCCACGTCAAGGAGAAAGGTAAACAAAAAACACTATAGTTTCTCACCAAAGCACTATAAACACTTGTGCTGCTTCTTCTCCCTTTCCATGAAAACATCCACATGAACAAGGCAAATCTTGAAAATTAATGACCTGCTGCTCATTAAAAATCTTCAAAATGTTTTTTTTTTTTCTGATAAAGAATCTTCAATATGTTTTGGAGTGAATCCCAATCATAAATTGTAAGATGCTTCTTTTTTTTTAATACCTGAAACCCCAGTGGACTCGTGTGTGTGACAGGTCGTAGGTACATTCCAGAGCAGTCGCTGAAGATAAACGCAACTTCAAGCATTTCCTCTGGGATTTTCTAAGTCTTTACCCAATACCACTCTTTTTTTTGCCTTTTTTAGAAACAAAAAGAGTCATCAAACACAGAGCAGTCACGTTTCACAAGTCCATCTTCATCTCAATAGGCTCATCCAAAGTTTGTGTGTTTTAAAATTGATTTTGGTTTCGATGTTTCAAGGTTTGAAGAAAGTTATGTTGTAAAACCACTATTTACTCGAACATGTGTTTGAATTCTTCTGTAGTTGATTGATTCTGTTTAACTTGCATAAAGACAAAGACAATACAACCTTTTGTCGAATTTTATATTGTTAGGCCCTGTTCGTTTTTGTACGTGATGCTGCATCTAGTTGCAAATATTCAAATTCAAATGTTGTTCGTTTTTCACAAAAAAATTTGTATTTAGATGCAGCATCCGGATGCAAATTGATTAGCATCTCAAATATCTGGATATTCTAGATGCTAAGAAATAGATAGTTCAAATGCAGCGTTTGCATCTAGTTTTTTTCTAAAAACGCAAAATCTTGATTTTCCGCCAAAAACGAAAACTCTCTGTTTCCACCAAAAACGTAAAATCTCAATTTCCCGGAAAAAACACAAAATCTCGATTTCCCGCCAAAACCAAAAAATTTAGGTTTCTCGCCAAAAACGCAAAATCTCTCCCGCAAAAAAAACAGAATCTCGATTTCCCGCCAAAAAATGAAAACTCTCGGTTTCTCTCCAAAAACACAAAATCTCAATTTTCCGTCAAAAACAAAACTCTCGGTTTCCTGCTGAAAACGCAAAACTTCGATTTTCCGCCAAAAACGCAGAATTTCGATTTTTTGCCAAAAAAGGAAAAAACTCGGTTTCTCGCCAAAAACGCAAAATCTCGATTTCCCACCAAAAACGAAAACTCTCGGTTTCTCGTCAAAAACGCAAAATTTTGATTTCTCGCCAAAAATGAAAAATCTCGATTTCCTGCCATAAACGAAAAAATCTCTGTTCTCGCAAAAAAACGCAAAATCTTGATTTCTCGCCAAAAAAGAAAAATCTCGGTTTCTCGTTGAAAACGCAAAATCTCGATTGCTCGCCAAAAAACGCAAAATCTCGATTTTTCACCAAAAACGAAAACTCTCGGTTTTTTGCCGAAAAACGCAAAATCTCGATTTTCCGCAAAAAACACAAGATTTTCCATCAAAAACTCAAAATTCCAGTAAAAAATTTTCCAGTAAAATATATAAAATCATGATTTCCCACAAAAAATGCAAAAAAAAAAAACTCATATATTTTTAAAACTTAATTGAATAAAAACATCATTTATTAAAAATATTAATTCAAAATATTCTTTTTATTCATTTGATATATTTTGCATCAAATTATTTTTCTAAATTCACAAACGAACAATTTAGTATCTAGACGTAACTTTTTGATGCAAAACCTAGTTTCTAAAACAAACAAGATCTAGATATTGTATCTAGATGCTGATCTATATGCAAAATCTAGATGCAGCATTTAGATCAAAAAACGAACAGGCCTTTACTTGTTAAAAGATCAGATCCATGTCAAGGATAAGCATATGAAGAACAACAAAAGAAAAAAATCCTCATTATCTTGGAAAGTTGCAAATACAAAAAAAAAATTCGCATCCATGTAATAAAACATATGCAGAACAAAATGTGGCGAGCACTGGAACTTAGGTGCACCCAAATGCAGGGGATCGAAGCTCTTCGAATCTGAAGCCATTTTCATTTTCAGTTCGTGGAGGCAAAAACCCTTTACCTCCGGGATAAAAAATCTTGGAGAGACGAAGATGGCGACTTCGTTGTCTAAAATCCTAACTAGATCGAAGGCTCATAGCTACAGATGCTGTACCACAACCAGTGTCTCTTCCCAGCCTTCCCTTCCGATACAATTCTGGTCACGACATTTCTCCGCCGTCGCCGACCCTTCCTTCTCTAGCTCCGCCGCGCTTGGCAGCCAAACAAGCTCTCCTGCTCCACTGAAAGGCATGCTAGTCATACTATGTCTTCCGATGCTTGAGCTTGGATTCTGGGGATATTAATAATCATTTCTGACGATTGGGTCCCTTTTTTGTTTCAGAGAACAAACGAGGGTCGTCGACGAAGTGGTCAAAATTTCTGTTGTTCTTGCCTGGAGCGATTACCTTCGGCCTCGGGTCATGGCAGATCGTCAGAAGGGAGGAAAAGGTCGGTGTCTCTTCTTCTTCAGCTATTTCGAATCAATTAAGAATTCCCCTTTACATTTTCTTCTCTTATGGAGTATCTAGCTTGGTTAGAGGTTGCTTTAGCTGGAATTTATATACTTTCGATGTGTGTCTTTCATTGAAGAGCTCTTGATCAATTCTTGTGCTTTTGTGATCGGGAAAATAGTGAGAATAATTAACTGATCCTGTGGTTGCGCAGATCAAAACACTGGAGTACCAACAACAACGGTTGAACTTGGAACCAATGAAGCTCAATACACAACTTCCTCCTGATAAGAATCTGGATACCTTAGAATTTAGACGGGTTACTTGCAAGGGTGTGTTTGACGAGCAAAAGTCTATCTATTTGGGTCCACGGTCTAGGTCCATATCTGGAGTTACTGAAAATGGATTCTATGTCATCACGCCTCTAATGCCAATCCCCAATGACCTGGATAGGTGAGGGTAATGATCCTTTCTCTTTGCTTTTAAGTTTTTCTATTTCCGTTTATCGATGCTGTTGAAAAATTTTACTTTATTGTCAACCATATCGAGTAAAATTAGAGTCTTCTTATCTTTCTGTTTTCTGTGATGGTTGTGAAATTATCAAAACACTTTCCAGGATATAATAGGCCATTCGCTTCTCTAGTCCTACTCTCCAAACTCTTGACCATGCTTGTCTTATACTAATGGCATGATTTCGGAGATTCTGATTGGCTAGGATTGAAATACTACGATCGTTTGGTCGATAAATGTTACACAACATCTTACTAATCGAGAGTTTGAGAATTGATTAGACTTATTAGTTGTTGATGTTTTGCTGAAGTGTCACTTAACCTCGGATTAGTCATGGCTATGTCGTAGTTTCCGCCTTCTAGTTTTAGTTCTAGCTGTTAACTTTTTGGCCTTTTCTGAAGTTGGATTGCTCTTCTCCCTTGTCAACTAGCATGCAGTCCCCTATTCTGGTGAATCGCGGATGGGTTCCTCGTAGTTGGAGAGAAAAGTCACCAGAGACTACAGATGCTAACTTTGTTACAAGCGACTCAACAGAAGCTAAGCCACTCTCCCATGAACAAAATTCCTGGTGGAAATTTTGGTCTAAGAAGCCAGTGATTATCAAGGTTGGTCCTTTTATACCCTCTCGTTCAGAAACTTCTTTCATTGCTTCTTATATATTTGGTAATATTGTGATTGCATTTGAATAGAATTCTAGGATCTTTACGGAGACAGATTGGATTTAGCCAGCTTCAAAGATTCGCTCTTTTCAAATTGTGTCTTTATCATATCTCTTACATGTACGTAATGGCTTTGCAGGAGCATGGATCCGCGATTAAGCCTGTAGAAGTCGTTGGTGTGATCAGGGGAGGGGAGAACCCAAGCATATTTGTTCCAGCCAATGATCCAAGTACCGGGCAGTGGTTTTATGTAGACGTTCCTGCAATGGCTCGAGCCATAGGTCTTCCTGAAAACACAATCTACGTAGAGGACGTTCATGAAGACATAGATCGGAGTAGACCATATCCTGTCCCGAAGGACATAAACACTTTGATCCGTAGTAAAGTCATGCCACAGGACCATCTCAACTACTCAATAACATGGTAAACTCCATACAGATACATGAGTTATTCTTGGCACTGTTTGGCCTTAAATATGCGATATGGTTAATGAGAGACATTTTGTTTGTGTCCTTGTCTTATGATGAACAGGTACTCTCTCTCCGCGGCTGTCACTTTCATGGCTTACAAGAGGCTCAAGCCAAAGTCTGCCCGCAGATGAGCTCTCTCTGATCAAATCAAATCTCATTCTTTTTGTAACTTGTCTGCTGAAGTAATAATTTGCAGAGGTCCAGTTGATTATGTTTTTATAGGTTAAACTTCCATAGAAGGGACACAATGAAATATTTTTAAATTGTCATAGAAATTTGTAGTTTTCGTTTTCTATGGTGGAAGAAAATTCGAACTCGAAGCCATTTGTGGGTAAAGACGGTTGGAAGGAATGCTTCTAATCACCATTGTTCTTTTTTGGTAGACCATCAGCGAAAGTTAATGTTGATTATACGTACTACTAAAATAGAATTGTTTGCTTAAAGGTAAATTGCGGTTTAAGAGAGTTTATTTGATTTTATACCCGAAAGACCATGAACTTTCAACATTTCTATTGTAATTGTTTAATTCATTAAAAATTCAACATTTCACTGCAGATAAGATCTTTGCCGCGTTGTCGTCGACTCTTTCGTTGTAATGTTTTTTTTTACAAAATTCAAAGAGTTTTTCTTTCTCTAACTAAAAAAAAAACTATTGCAAATATTACAGAGCCGATCAAGACACATAAAAGGGGTTTTATTCTAAATTTATGGAGCAGAACGAAATTCCACTCCTTCTAAGAAGAAAAAGAGTTCATCGATTATCAACCGTAGAAAAGTGAGTAGTATAGTTTTTTTTTTTTTATCTAAAAGACAAACATATAAATATATTAAAAAAAAAAAACCAAAATTGAATTCAAATGAGGTTTTCATGAGTATTATCGTCTTCTCTTGTTATAAAAAAGGAAATAATTTTATTGTGAACTGACTACACTTTTTAACACTTACAAGTTACACCAGTAAAATATTTTTCCTTTGTCAGCAAATGAATGTGAAACCGTGTTTTAAAATTACGTAATCAATGATTAGTGAGTAAGTAATTGCCCAAAGCAAATTGCATTGTACTTATTAATGATTTGATTAAGGGCATGGAGGCCAGGTGTTTCAATCAGTCTTGTCTCAGGTTGTTTAACAGAGAGAGAAGAGAGAATCATCCTCGCTGTTTCCTATTCGCCTGTTCTTCTCCAATCATCTCCCTCTCTCTCTCTGCGCATCGGCCATGGCAGTTTCTCCATTTACCCATCCCAAACATTTTTGACTCCCAACCCCTCCTCTTTCTCCCGCGACGGTTCGCGCGTTTTCGTTTCGGTATTAAATCCCTAACCTCTCCTCCACGATTCTCATGGCGATCGTGACGGGAGATCGGTATTTGGAGAATCTTGAGAAGTTCCTTGAAGACAAGGCTGAATCGCTTATCGATGGGACCGATGTTCTCAAGCTCAATCCCGCGGGCCTTCACTACGTTCATCTCCGTCTCGAATCTCTCCTCGAGCTCGAGCGAATGCTTTCCGGAGCTCCCGTTGACTATCTCCGCGCCTACGTCTCTGACATCGGAGATTACCGCGCTCTCGAGCAGCTCCGACGTATCCTCCGCCTCCTCCCTTCTCTCAAGGTCGTTTCGTCGCTTCCCTCCCCGGCCCGTGATCCTACGCCTCTCTCTCTCCTTCCCTTTTCCAGGCTTAAGGTCTTGGAACTCCGTGGGTGTGATTTGTCCACTTCGTCTGCCAAGGGATTGCTCGAACTCAGGCACACCTTGGAGAAGATGATCTGCCACAATTCCACTGTGAGTTTTCCTCTTCTTCTTCTTTTGTGTGTGTGTGTGTGTGTTTCCTTGGTTTATTGCATTTTTGCTTTGAATCTTTTTGGAAGTCCCTGACTAATCTTTTCCAGGTCTCCGCTAAATGTAGGATGCGTTGCGGCATGTCTTTGCGAGTAGAATCGCTGAAATTAAGGATTCACCACAGTGGAATAAGTTGGCTTTCGTTTCATGCGCTTGCAACCGTCTCCTGCTCATGGATGAGTCGTTGCAACTTCTCCCAGCTGTTGAGTCGCTTGATCTGAGTCGGAACAAGTTTGCAAAGGTGGATAATCTTCGGAGATGTTCCAAGTTGAAACACCTTGATCTGGGTTTCAATCAACTTAGAAAAATCTCTCACTTGAGTGAGGTAGGGAACCTCAGCTTTTATTCATGTCCATCTGTAGATTTCTTTCGATCTGCAAGTTGCTTAACATTTGCGTTTGTTAGTTACTATCTTTCGAACCCGTTTAGCTACTCTTGATGGTTCTAGAAATACTATGGCTTAGTTTTTGAAATCACATAGATAGAAGAAGAACACTTCGAGTTTCTGTGCTGAAGAAAAGTATTCAGGTTTTACCCTAGGGACCCATACACCTATTTTTTGGACTATGCAGGTATCATGTCACCTTGTTAAACTTGTTCTGAGGAACAACGCGCTAACTACATTGCGTGGGATTGAAAATTTGAAGTCACTTGAAGGCCTTGATGTTTCCTTCAATATTATTTCCAACTTTTCAGAATTGGAGTTTCTTGGGAGTCTTTCATTCTTGACAGACCTGTGGCTGGAAGGAAATCCAATTTGTTGTGCTCGATGGTACAGGGCACATGTCCTCAGCTACGTTGCTCTTCCAAATGATGTAAGTTTTGTTTTAGAGACTATAGAATCTTGTTGAAAAAGCAGAATTTGCGCCATTTAAGTTTCTGCTTGATCTAAAAATGCTTCTCCCTATCTGTGCGGCTTTTCAGTTGAAGCTAGATGGCAAACACATTGGGAATAGAGAATTTTGGAAGAGGCAGGTTGTTGTAACACGTAGGAAAAGTCAGCCTGCCAGCTATGGGTTCTATTCTCCAGCTAGAGAGGAAGCTGATGACGAAGGAAGCCGTAATAGAAAAAAGGTAATTGGCAGAAAGTTCATTACTTTCATCTTTTATAATCTGCTCGTGGCTCTAGTGCCCATTTCTCCAGCTTGACAAACCCTTAAGCATGAAAAACTTTAGAATATATCAAAACCAATTACGCAGTTGTAGTATGGTACGGCTTTTTGAAAGGCATTGTGAATATGCACATCACTCTATAGGCAGCTTCTCTCTGTGCTTTTTCAGAGATTTATTTTCTTGGTTTATGTTGTGGTGTTAATAATTACTGAAAGCTTATTAGCGTCTTCTTTTTTCCTTTCACAGACAAAAATCTACAGGCTCGCGTCTATTGATAGTGATGAAGATAGCACCTATGTGAATTCTGATCAAGAGTCTGCTTCATGTGAACCCGAGACTCAAAGCAAAGAGGGGAATATCAAGTCCGATCATGAAGCTGATATCTTTGGTTTAATAAGCAAAGTTGAGCAGTTGAAAAAAGAACGTTCAGTTCTTTGGCTGCGAGAGTTTAAGGAGTGGATGGATCATCCGTCAGAGGATTTTCTCGATGACAGAAAAGACTCCTGGAGTTTTGATTCAGAGAAGAAGTACTACACAAAGAATAGGAAAAGCCCGAAGCATCATGATGAAACATTGAGATATCCACCAAGGCCTTTGCCAGGTTTCCAAATTACAGATCTAAATCAGAAGGATCAGGCATTTCTTCTTGATGAGAAGCCAGATGAAAATGGAAACATTTCAACATTGGATGCTACTCAGGATATGACAGGATCATTTTCACCCTCAAAATATATGCGATCACCCCCTCATTATCAAAAGGATGTCTTAAACCGACGCCATAACCTGGTGGAAGAAATCTTGCAGCTATCAGCAGATTCGTATTCAGTAGCATCGTCTGATAGCACGAGCAGCTGCAGTGAAAATGAAAATTTTGATTCTGAGGAATCAAATCCTGAACAAGATATGTTGATGGATCATCTGAATGGGAATAGACCCAGGGAGGAGATACTGGGATCTGCTAAAAATGGCACAAGCTTGGTTGATTCTCAACCAGAGAAGAGTAGTATCATTAAGACTTGGAGGATAGATGATTCGTTCAAAGCAAAGACCACTAATTTTCTTTCTGGACTACATAATAGTGAGCTTGCTTCCGGTGTTAACCAGATTTACCATTGGTTTGACAAAAGGAAAAGCAAGAGGAAGGCTAAAAAAAGAGTTGTTTCTCTACTGGAGGAGAATAGATTCATAAATAATGGAGAAGCATCTCATAGGAGTGATGCAGATATCAGTGATTCTGATGAAAATGGGTGTGTTTCTGATCGTTTGCAAGAAGGTTCATTGACTACGGGTTGTAATAGTAAGAGCGTTACTAGATTTTTGGGAGCTGAAAAATCCCTTGAAGTAATAGGTGGTTTAGTGGAGGAGTATTTTACAACGACACTGTCAGATTCCAGCGTTGACGAGAGTTGTAGGATTTACGTTAGTTGTGATTGTATACTACAGCAAGAATCTACCCACACGCAACGGTAAGTTTTGTTCCCTTTATTTTTGTAGTTCTAGGTGAAAGAAAGTAATGTGAGTCCCTTCTCCGTAGTTAAAGACTTAAGATACTTAATAGGGACTTGCCGAGTAAAAAAAAGTCACTGAGGTTGCGTACATATTGCTTCTCTAGTACTGATAGGGTTTCCTCATATTCATTTTGAAAATGTAGCCTGGTCGATGAAATGGTCTGGTGTCTCTTCTTTTCCCCCTGACAGTACTCTATAAATGCAGGGAAGTAGTGTTGCTGTTGAGTAGCCAAGAAAAACTGTATGTGCTGCTCGTGGGTGTTTCTACTGATTCACAAGGTTAGACTGATTTTCCCCCATCTTCCTCTTTTATTCTTTATGTATGAATATTATGTGCTCTGTTGATGTTGATTCACTTTTCCTTGACCCCTGTTGTCTGCAGAGAGCAATTTAAGTTTATTGTGTTCGCATGCAATTGATGATATACAAGATGTCTCAGTTGGTCTAGGACTTCAGGTTGTGAGGTTAGTCTTCTTTCTGGTTCCGATTTTAAACTTGATTCTGTCTCTATGTCCCTAACCTCTCTCTTTCCTTCTCGTTTAGGCTACGCTTTAAGGAGGACACAGAGTACGTTTTCATAACGGAGAGCATCGCAAAAACAACAACTTTACTCAACATCATTAAAGTCTTGGATTCTCAGGCTGCAGAATCTGAATGTTCTTTGGGAAGGTGAGCTATCATCAACTTTTTCGTCAGCTCTTTTACTATTCTGCTTCTTCCGTTTTCTCATTTGACATGTATTAAAACTTAAATGGCAGTTTGGAGAGTATTCAAGTGGAATTTTTTAAGAAAGAAATATGTAGTGGTTTGAAGCTGAGTATATTCCAATATAGTGTTCTCCATTTTCAGAGCAGCACTCTTGGAGGTATGTATATCCGTTCCCGCATACATTCCAAAGATTCCCCTGAAGGAAGTAAGACATGACAGTGACATACCCATGAATTTGTCTAGATAGTTGTTAGACCAAATCAATATAGCTCATGATAGTGTGTAATCTCACATTCACAATATAGTATATGCTATTAGATTTTTGTATCGAGCTAATAGATGACATATCTGCGAAGTATCTTCCCTGCATGCCGCAAATCTCAGGGTTTGGGGCTAGTCCGCGCTACTCATATAAATTCAATAATGGGATGTCCTACTATAATAAATTCAGTTTCTAGGAACAGAATCATTCGGAGTCTCCTATTTCACATAAATATGCGGATTAGATGCACAATATGAAGCATTTTTGTGTAAATTTATCGAATTAAAAATGGTTTATCTATGTTAAGAGGTTTTCACTAGCTTATAAGTAAAATCCAATACAAGTCGTGTCAACACTGACCATTTACACCACTGATTCATTTACTAGCTGTGTCAACACTGACCATTTTGGGCTATTAAATTGTGGCAGAGGTGTCATGGCTTCCACGGTCAATATTTGTGGCGAGTGCACATCTTTTCGTATGCATTGAAGACTTCAGGCAGCTGAGTTCTCTGCCAACGGATGGTTCTTCTGCTCCATATTTCTCACTTGACTCAAGCTGCTCCATCTCTGACATTTTTGAGATGGTAACTATTATTCTTGCTTGCCTTTTGCTCTCACTATGTAATGTTTTTTCCCCCTTCTGTTTTTGATGTACAAACTTGAATATCTTCCAGGTTATTGAATCTCGAGGAAGCCCATGCTTGTCACTGAAGATCAAGCAGACAAATTCCACATCTCAAACCAGACCAAACAGAACAGCGAATTCAACAACATGGAAGCTCAAATTTTTCAGCATCGACTGCATACTCAAATTTGTGGCTCTAGTCAAAGGACTTCACCCGGATTCTCCAGAACTGCCGTTGCTCGTAAGGCATTTGAGTCAGATATAAGTCGTGAAAGTTCCTTTTTAGAAAGAAAAAGAAACCTTGTGCATAATGTTCATAACTTCATATTCATTTAATTCAATTTGTTCCATGTGTTTTGATTCATATCTTGTATAAAGCCCTTTGGGGTATTGTGGTGTGCTCCGAGTCGAGTCTGATAGACTGATTCCTTCAACCGTTTCAACATATTCTTTGATTTGTATTTTTTTGTGAATCATACAACCCACATGAGGAACAAGAAAGAAAATCAAAATATTTTCTGAAAAAACTACTACTTAGAAAACCTGTGCTGTGATTCTTCTTTTACTAATTTTGCAGGTGATGGAACAATGGAGGAGAATCTACTCAACCTGTCTCTTCTCTTCATCAACCTGTTCCATCAAAGCCTCTAACTCCGCCTCCGATAAGCTCTCCAACCGTTTCTGTGCATTACCAAACCAACCATGTGTTAGGAGGTATAAAGCACATGAACAAACAAACCCCAAGTACAAGAGCTAAAATCGTCAAGAGAAAGCACGAACCTGCATGACTTGGGACTCGTAGTCACGAAGTTGCTGAGCATAAGTCATCTCCTTGTTACCGACTCTAAAGATGTAAGTCGATATCCAACCCAATGTCAAGCCTAAAACCAGTATCAGCTGTACAGCATTACCTGCTTGCAACGGATCTACTCCCACATACTGCCCACAATTTTCAAGATAACAAAAAGGTGCTGAGAAAAAGAAAAGAAAAGAACATTCATGGATTCGCTTCTTGAGAATGAATTACCTCAAGTCCACTCTCTAGCCCGATTCCAAGTGCGGTCACTCCCACTCCAATCAACAGAACATCCTTCCTCGAGTATCCAAACGGCGTCTTCTGCAACCAACCAAATTGTTACACAACAGAGTTTGCTTCAGGACATGAACTAAGAATCTATGATGATGATGATGATGTAAAATTGAATGAAAGAGACGGAGATGAGACCACCTTGGTCTTTGTGGCAGAATCCTCTTCAGTTTCAGTAGAGTTTGAGCTCACTGTACATCTCATTCTTTGTTTCTTATCCCTCCTTTCTACTGATGATGACAATCCATGTCCCTCGAATCTATATGAAAATTTCTTCGCAGCTCTGAATCCTCCTGCATCATCTCAACAAAATTCAAGAGTCTTTATCATTGCTTTCAGCTAAATCATGTGATTACTTTGTCGAAACACGATTGGGGAGATTCGTCGATTGCTGAGAAGACAAAACCTGGTATTTGACGCCGAATCGGACGAATTTGTAGAGCTGCAGATGGAACCTCTTGGCTTCTGCATAGATTCGAGACTCCGTACGGTAGAGAAGCCATTTCTGTGTGTAACCCAGAAGCAGGAATGTGGTTTAAATGTGAAAACAAAGAAAAATGAAACAGAAATGGGACGAAGAGATTAGAGAGAGATGGGTGGTTGATATTTCACGCGCGCGTTGGGGTTATTGCTTGCTTCTGGGACGCACGTGAGGCGCGTGTTTCCTGCTTAGATATATATATTTTTTTTTTCAGAGCTTAGATATTTCCCATTCTTCTTACTGTATATAAGAAAGATGAAGTGCTTACGTTGTTCTCAGGACAAACATAAGATCCTTAATACTATTGTTAAAGAACAGTCAATTGTTTATCCAAGAACAGGGTTTCCATTTCTACTCAGTTTCCTCAAGGCAATGAGATTCGACTCGAAATATGTTTTGTAAGACTAAGACCAAAGCAAAAGAAGATTAAGAATAAGAAGTTTAGCACTGGAAGTTTGTTAAACCAACATAAAGGTCACATCTACATAAGGGTCACATTTAGCATTAGAAGAGTAAGTTGCTAAAAACCTGACTAGTTCTACTAGAGTCAGAATAAAAAAAGGGAGACTAGAGTCGTCGTCTCATCATCATTCATTGAGGAAATGCACTCTAACAGCCGCAACCACTCCTCCTGAGAGTTCAAGTTCACAAACTACAGAGTCTCCTACTTTCAGGTTGTACCTTTCAGATACTTCCTCCCAGCCATTGAAACCATGTGAACGGCCGTAAAACTTGGTGAAGCCCTTGTGTTTTGTTCCATGAGGAAGATGGAAATACATTTCGGAATTATGGGGAGCAAACTCCAAGCCATACTTTTCAATCACCCAAGAGCTCACATACTACTTGCACAGACATGGAAAAAAAAAAGACAGACTCTTTAGCTTTAAAAGGCAACAGACAGCATCTACTGAAAAAAAAATTTTGACTAGTTAAAAACCCGAGTATGCAAAGAAACTGAAAATGCTACTATACTAGTATTACCAGAATATGGTTGGTTTTCGTCAGCGTCTTCTTAAAGAAAGGGTTTTGAGGATTTACGAGGTATCTCTTGAGGTTTTCGACATCAGAACAATTCTTTCCCGCTCGACCAGGTCTTCTTTTACCAGGGGTTGCCTCCTGGAGAGAGTTTCGGGGCTTAGGATGAAACGGTTCAGTTCCAGTTTCAACTTCAAGAGGTACGGAGTTGATCTCTTTCCCATCTTTCTTGAAGATACGCACTTGAAAATGCATGGTGTCTTGGTGTGTGAAGAGCAAGGTATCATCTGGACCTAAAAGGTTGTCATCCACAAACTCATCCCAATCTTCTTTTACCATAAACAGACCTTTCTTGTCCCCCTGGAGCCAGAGTTGCCAGGAATTACCCCAATGAACACTAAACACCAACCTGTGCTTAATGCTTCTCACAAACTCTTCCGGAATCATCCTCTTTAGAAACAGTTGACAACAAGAAACAATACTGACATTAGAAGAGAAAACATGAGAACACTTAAAAAGCTTATTAATTTCCAAAGGGAAAACACACAGAAGCAGCAAAACCGGAGCTCAAAAACTTGGTTTGTAGGTCAAGCAATGCAGAGCAAAAGCTATAATAAAAAGGACTAAAACCAAGTTGACCAACACCAGCAGAAACATGAGTTAAGAAAAGCAAATGCCAAGTAATATTGTACATAAAAGGGGTATATTAACCATGCAAGAACTACAACCGTGGTTACAATCATCTAGAAGAGCAAAGAGAAGAAGCTAATTCGACAGAACACATGTTTAGGCTAAACTAGATACAGAGAAAAATCAGAGCAGAGAGAGAGTTACCATGGATTTAGATTTCCAATTTTGTCCTAGAGACAGAGACTTGGAGAAGCTAGGCTTGCTTTGGTTCTCACTCTTGGGCAACATGTTTTCTCTTCAAAGCGGGATCGGTTCTGAAATTAGGGTTTTGTGGAGATAAATTGAATGTGATAAAAGACAATCGAAGCGACAGTAGATTGAGCCAAGAGATCCAAACATTTAAAAAAAAAAAAATTGCGTTATTTCGCCTTACTTAGTTGTTACTTCACCTTGCTCGTCGTGTCTTTGGATAAAAGCAGGTGACACGAAATTGAATTAGAGATTTTGATTAATGCATAATACACACTGAGTATTTATGATACTAGCAGTCTCTGAGAGTTAGTTTGAAACTACCAAAATGCCCCTATCCTCTCAAGAGTCGTATTTCGTAAGCTTCTTTTCTTGCGTTTTCTTTTGGCCAAAGATGCCACAATTCACAACTCTGCTTGAAGCAAACAGAAAAGAAAATGCGGCAAACCCTAAAGTTTTTGCGTTTCGTTTAACATTCCACATATTTTGCTAGTTGGTAAATTATTTGACGAATCTCGCATTGGCGAATAAAATAGATTTTATTTTTCAAAAAACTAAAAGTAATCAATATCCGGTTCAGTTTATTGTTCCCCGCCACAACGAGCAAAAGATAAAAAAAAAAAAAAAAAAAAACTTAAAATCAATCCCTTTCCGGTTCTATGAACCGGTTCTTTATTCCAGTTCATCTATATATCACCTAAAAGTCCATCTAAAACCACCAGCTTCACTCACTCAAGCCGAAAACTCAAACAGCATCGTGTGCTGGTACTTGTCACCAGCCTTAACCACAACAGACGGAAAATTCGACTGGTTAATCGCGTTCGGGAAACCCTGCGTCTCAAGGCACACACCCGCATGCTTCCCATAAACCGCGTTTCCTTTCCCAACCACTCCATTCACATAGTTCCCTGTATAAAACTGCATTCCCGGTACATTGGTCCACAAGTTCAACACCCTCGAGCTTGCACCGTCTCTCAGCTTCGCTGCGTGTTTAAGCCCATCCTTCTCCTTGTCAGGACAGTCCAACACGTAGTTGTGATCATATCCGAGTCCCACTTCTCCTATAGACTCGCCTATCCGTTTCTCCTCCGTGAAATCGAAAGGAGTTCCCTTTACAGGCAAAATCTCTCCCGTAGGCACTGTGTATTGATCCACCGGTGTAATATGAGACCCCCAAATCTGGATGCTATGGTCAAGAATGTTTCCAGAGTCATGACCTGCCAAGTTCCAGTATGTGTGCTGTGCTAAGCTGATCGGAGTGTCTTTGTTTTTCGGAACTGCCTCCATGTCAAGTCTCATGGTCGTGGCTGACGTGAGCGTGTATGTAGCTGTGACAGAAACTGCTCCTGGATAACCTGTAAAATAGGACCATACACATTATATTTTAGTACTTAGCTAATCCAAACCATATATATATATAAGAAATTTGAAAGACTTAAAAAGGGAAATGTAATGTTAGGGACCTTCTTCTCCATCGTCGCTGTGATATTTGAAAATGATGAATGGTTTTTCGCCGTCTTTCTTGTGCCCTGCAACTTCCCATGTTTTCTTGTCGAAACCCTTGTTACCACCTGCATTATAGAGTAACATTTTATTATGTTTTACATCCGATTAAAAATTCGAGAAATATATACAGAAGAGGGGTCGTTATATACCGTGGAGGCTATTGGGAGGCTTGTTGATGGGCAGAGTGTAGTCAACTCCATTCAGAGTAAATTTTCCCTCTTTGATCCGATTTGCCACACGGCCAACTATGCATCCAAAGTAAGGTGCAAGGCCTTTCTGTAACAATCATTATCATATATATTCAGATTCATTAATAAACACAAATTTTCATTACCACTATCACAAAATCCAAATTACTTTGATGTCACAGCAGATATTTTATCAAAAATATTACTATTAAGCACACAAGTCATACCACAAGAGAGAACTGAGCATATAGAGTTATTAACAATATGATTCAGATACTATGCATAGACACATGTGTTGATGCTAATAAGTACTCTATTCACCAATTCAGACAACAGAAATCACATTGGTGATAGTTTAATTGAAATCAGATGCACCCGGAGGCATTGATCAGATCCAATGAAATATGTGTCGAGATCAATCAAAGAATTAGGTGAAATTTGAGAGAGATTACCACATATGGATCCACCGAGTCGAATCCGAGAACTACATCAGCCAATTTCCCTTCAATTTGATAAAAAATAAAGAAAAAACAAAACTCGATCATCAGAGGATTGATTGGGATTTTCAGGAAAAGTGAAACATATATAATGGAGATCCTCACAGGAAGGGAGAAGAGAACGAACCGTTCTTGTCGGGGGCAGACAAAGAGGTGATTGTGGCGCCATAATTTGAGATCTTGACATGCATGGTGCCATTGTTGAGCTCGAATATCTCAGGAGAAGTATTCCTGCTCTGATCCGCCATGAGAGAAACGCTCGATTGGTTCAATTAGGGCTTAAGATTAGGAGGAGGTGAAGCAAAGTGATTAATGGATTAGATATTTTAGATGTTTGAGACAAGTGATCAGTTTTGTTGTGTCATATATAAACCAGAATCGTAATCTCGTAACAGATCAATGCTGACGTCATCCCCATCCAAAACTTCTATCTTTTGTTTACCCTTTTGTCCCTTTAGGGCATTTCTCAATATATTTTTCTCTCTTTTTAATCAACTTATATAATCAAAAAGATACCAACTTCAGTTAAATAAAGATATTAAAAATGGGGGAAAAATTTAACATTTTGATTAATAGACTTTCGACCTAAAAAAACAAAGATTTGATAAGCAAAGTATCAAACTATAAACTGAAGAATTAAAGAAAAAAAAAAAAAAAAACTCTATGCATTATCGTAACTCAGTCTTCGCGTGAATTTTAGATCTATCTCTACCTTTTTTCAGGTATCCTATGAAGAAAACGATATAACCTATAAAAGCTTGTTTTGTAATTTCTTTTCGTAAATTTTCAACTTTTGCTCCCAACCAACATTTACCAGCTTTTTTATCCAAAAGGTTACCGAAAAAGTTTCCCATAACTAGAAATAATTAATTGAAAAAAATTTGTAAATATCAAAGCTCAGCCATCGAAAGAATAGAAGAAATAGAGTAACAGATGTCAAAGAGGTCTTTAGTTTAAAGAAGAACAATCATTTCCAAAAGCAAATCATTTGTCACTTTCTCCTTCTTCACCTTTCAATTTCATTCAACCAAAGCAAATACTACTTTCCTTTTTCTCTCATTACGAACTCGCTGATCCGACGTCGCTTTACTCCATTTGACACATCCCTCCAACATCATCAAACGCCTTGGGCCCAAGAATTACAGCAAAAAATGCAAGATCCACGCAATAACCAGGTGCCATCTTCTCCCACCATCTCCTCCGTCTCTTCCTCCGATCTTGATACCGAGGTCAGTTTACAGAATCTTATATTTTAGTTGAGAATCTCTCTCTAGTTCTCTTAAGCACACAGATTGATCTTTTTTATTTTCCCAGAAATTTCATGTGCTACCTAGAAATGTTTCTGCTTAAAAAGATCATCTTTTAGTTAGAAACTGGATTTAAACTTCCAAAGTTTGTGTTTTTAGAGCTGCCCAGAAACAAATATTTGTTTTTTTCTCGGAACCCAGAAAACAAAATCTCTGCCGAGATATGTTCAGGTGAAAATTTATACTTTCCCCGTGATTCAACTAACCCATAAATTTGATACTGGGAAGTGGGAAAGAAAGATGATTTTTTGGAGTGTTCGTTTTTGAAAGATTAAAAACGAAATTGGAAATCTGACTATTTTGAAGTGTTAATTGGGTTTTTTTTTATTGGTGATGAGGAAATTAGTCAACAGGATCCTTCTTCCATGACAGAAGCATCACACTGGGAACGCTTATGGGGTTTAGTTTCACAGCAACCATGCCGATGCCATTCAGAGCTTCTTCACACCGCCACGTGTCACCCTCTGTCTCAATCCAACGAGCTTCAAGCTCCAACGCAGCAAGACGCAATAACCAGAGGAAGCGTCCTCCTTCCACTTCGGCTGAGAGGCATCGCCGCCGCAAGTGGTGGCGCTTTTGCCGAGACGACGACGACGCGGGGAACGGGATGCACCGTGGCTCCGGAGATTGTAGGCGGTCATCGCTCGGAGAGTATTTGGAGGTTGAACGGAGGTTTGGTGATGAAGCCGTCTATGGCTCCGCCGAGGCGGAGCTTGAGGATGCGGTGGCGCGTTACCGGAATCAGCAGCCGGCGTTGACGGAACGGGGGTTGTTCGCCGATGGGAGGGTTCTTCCTCCGGCTTCAGCTGAGATTGTTGCCGGAGAAAGTACGCCGGTGGCTACGGGACTTTGTAGATTTCCGGTTTCCTTAACCGGTATATGTAGCGGAGGCGGAGGATAGATACGTCGGTCCATGTGCTTATTTATCTTTTTTTGTTTAAATTGTGTATTCAATATTTTAAGAATCGAAATCATAGTTTTGTGGAAAAAATGGGGTGCAGTTCAATACCAGCAACAAATGATATTTAGTCACCTAAGGAGGTGTAAATCAAGATTTTTAGAGTTTTAGAGTTTAAGATTCTATAGTTATTAGTTTGTGGATTTTTACATTCTTAATAGATTCCTCTGTTATTCATTTAGAAATTATAAAAATCAGTTGTTATTGATCTGATGATTTTTATAATCTAATCAAAATCCATTGTTATTCAAAAAGTCTGCATTTTAATGATTCTATGATTCTGTTATAATATAGTGTTATTGGCATAATGATTCTTTATAATTTAATTCATAAATTATGATTCTCAAAATACTATCTATATCCCTTGGATTCTCAAAATCTGTCATATTAAAAAATTCTTAATAGATTGTTTAAATCCATATAACTCTCTCTAAATTTTACAAATCCAACAAAACTCTTAAAAATTTGATAAATCTCATGATTTTTAAAATCAACTAAAATCTTCATAAATCTAACTCCCAATAACCCCTCCTAAATTATTTCAGAAAAAATGATTGATAATGGAGAAATTGAAGGCATAGATGACCATATCACTTGAGAAAATAAAAGTGGGGTTACAGAAGGAAAAAGTAGCAGTAATTAGTGGTTAATTGAGAGAAAACTATTCAAGGATCTATTGAGGTAATTCATCAAAATTTCTTAATTGTGTTTCTTATTCAGTTTCCCTTATATATCAAGAAATAACCAATAATATTTAATCTTTATATAAGAACCTCACTACAATTCAATTTCATACCACAGTTTTCCCATTTCTCACATATAGTTCAGAAAAGAGAAGAAAAAATGAGCCGGAGAAAGATCAAGATGATGAGTAGGTGCAAAACATATGTGTATATAGAGCTTGGAACGTAGATTGGGTTAGTCCTTCGCAAAACCTGAGGCTTGATTTTGTTGATAAAAAAAAAGTGGTTCCAACAAAGTTTGTAGTAGATGGCTAGATGCAATATGTCTTAACTATAAAAAGATACGTAAATTAAACGTCTAGAACTCGATCACTGAAAAAGATTCATGACTCAGAGAAAATACGAGACGAAACAGCTTGAATCTGGCGGAGATAAGACGTTGAAGCAATACGAGGAGCTCAAGTAATGCCTATGCAAGCTTCATCTTCTCTCCAGAGATAAGGTCATCATGGGAACAAATAAATAGATATGTAGTTTTGAGATTTTCATACATATTGTTGGTCGTCGATTCAAAATGTATTTTTTTCTAATGGTCTAGTGGTTGTGACTTTTGATGGATAACATTATGGGATTATGAAACCTTATTGTGGTAAAGCATAAAGATGTGCGAAATCGTTAAGCAAAATTGAAAATAAATAGACTACAAAAATTGTAAAATGACAACAATAAGAAATTTTGATTACTTTTCATAAAAACTGCGGAATAACGAAGTGGTTGAAAAAAAAAAAAAAAGATCATGTGATTAATGAAAACTTGTAGAAGCTAGCATGGGTGCATAGTTGGTCTTATGATTGGTCTATGATATTAAGCTTTTGAGCTACCACACCCTAAGTTTTTGCTTCAAACTCTTTTCATTCATACATCTAATTCTTATAGAAGTTTTATCAAATGTTGTGTGTTAAGAGGCAAAAACGACATAAGTTTGGCTGAGGCTGTGCCACATTTTAACATACCCACTAAAAGCAAGAAGTCGAGACTATTATCCTGGTATTATTATCCCCATTAACATGTAACATCATAAGTGGAGAAAATTACCGAACAAACAAGTGAGCACACATAAGAATACAAATTAAATATGGAAAAACTGTTTGTTTATGTGTGTGAGTGTGTCCATTGACCAAGAAGCAAATTACCGAACAAGTGGACACACATTCGAAAATCGAAAAATGTTTGCTATGTGTGCTCATATTTTGTAGTAGCAAACATTTTGGAATTAAAAACAGAATTACATTTTTATATAATTAGTTTTTATTTTATTTTATTGGGTACTACGCGAATAACCTCAAGCGACGCAACACACAAAACAAAACTCATTTTTTGTGCGTCCTTCTCTTTAGGGTCTCTCTCTCTCTTATCTTAAGCAGCAGCAACAGAAAACGTCATCGATGGCGTCTCACGCTTCGAATCTCTGGGTGCTTCTAGGTTTGGGTATCGCTGGGATTCTTCTCGCTACCAAGAAGCTGAAGAAGACCACCCGTGAAGATTTCGGCGCCTTCATCGACAAGCTTTTGCTACTTCCTCCGCCACAGCCTGCTCCTCCTAAAGCTCCTCATCCTCTCACCGGTCTCTCTTTCGCTGTCTCCGACGTGTAAGTCACCGTAGACTTGTTTCCCCTCCCCTTCTTCTTCGTCTTCTTATGTTTGTGGTGAAATTTTGGTGAAGAATTTTTCGCTGGGGTTGTCAAAATTAGTTTCCCAAAGCTTGAAATCTGCGTTGACTCCGTTCCTACTTTTCTCCGGCGCATTATATGTCTGTTCTTGTACTTTCGAGAGTATGGTTGATTAATTTTGAGCAATTATTCTGAAACTTTGTTTGTAGTAGATTCAAATGTGTGTATCACAGCTAGTTCTAATCATTTCAAATCGATACTAACTGTATGAATATATATAAGAATCTTTGAACTGTTCCTATCATTGGAGGACCCTACGGTTTGGATCTTTGGAGATAAGATGAGATTGTAAGTCATTGAGAAGAGTTGTATTTTTGGATTCATCACCAATTTTGGATGAATTACAGTCGTAGAGTGTGTTTGACCTCTAATGATCCATGGAGAAAACTATGGATATATGTTGATATAGTAACTTTTTATCTAATTTTTATACTGGCTCTTGTATGAACTTTTGAATATAAAAGGTTTCAAAAAGCTAAAGTTCCTCTTTCTTTCATTCTCATCTGTTTTTCCAGATTCGATATTACAGGCTACGTGACTGGCTTTGGTCATCCAGACTGGGTCAGGACACATGAAGCTGCTTCTTCAACATGTCCTGTGGTTTCAACTCTCGTTGAAGGTGGAGCCACTTGTGTTGGGAAAACTGTAGTTGATGAACTTGCCTTTAGGTTTGTCTCTGTTTCGATTACATATGTAAATTTGTTACCTATGTCGGGATTCAGATAAACACCTATAGTTTGAGATTCCAGTGTTGAAATTTATATTTCATCAGGGTTCAAGTATTTTTGATTTCTTTGTTTTGCGGTTTTTGTTTGCTTCAGTATCAGTGGAGAAAACAAGCATTATGATTCACCCACAAATCCTGCAGCTCCTGCTCGTATTCCTGGTGGCGCTTGCAGTGGAGCTGCTATTGCCGTAGCAACTAACGCTGTGGATTTTGCATTAGGTGAGTTTTGTAGATACCTTTTCCTTGTTGGAAAATTTGGTACAAGATAGCCTTAAGTATTGGTGACAAAACATGGCTTAAAAGTTTAAAACATAAATTGGTAGTTATTTTAAGGACATAACATATAGTAAGATTGTTCCATACAGAGTTACACGCTAGTGTCCTTGGTCCCATCCCATTCATCTCGAAAGTCTCAATCGTTTACTGGTTCTGGACTTCTGGTTCAACTTTCTTAAGAGTATGGTTTTGATGACTTGCATCATTGCAGGCATCGACACGGTTGGCGGGGTTAGAGTGCCTGCTGTATACTGTGGCGTTCTTGGATTCAAATTTTCTCATGGGGCTGTTTCAAACACCGGAATCATACCAGTATCTTCTAGTCTTGACTCTGTTGGTATGTGTACAAACTGTGTGGATTCAACAATTTGTAGTAGAATGATCTGAATCATATAAAGACGAGGATTTGTTTGTTATATGCCTATATTGCAAGATGACTTCGTTCATATGACTATTTAAAATTTAGCATCATGCCATCATCATATGGAGAATATGAGCATTATGTCGATTCTGATCAATAGATATTGCCTTCAGGATGGTTTGCTCGCGATCCAAACACCCTACGTCGTGTTGGCCATGTACTCCTGCAACTTCCATTTGCCACACAACGGAATCCAAGGCAAATCATAATAGCTGATGACTATTTTCAGCTGTTAAAGATCCCTGTGGACCGGATTACACAGGTGGTGATCAAATCGGCTGAAAAGCTTTTCGGAAGTATGCCCTTTGCTCTTCCTGAAGGTCCTTGGTCTCTGTTACATATCCTGGTTGTAATAGCATTATTCTTTGTTTTTATGTTTAGGACAATTGCTGAAGCATCAGAACCTGGAGAACTATTTTGAAGCTAAAGTTCCTAGCTTGAAAGAGTTCATCAGGACAAGAGCCATCGCTAACACGAACGTCTCAACATCAAGACTACTGGCGAATGTGATGCAGCTTCTTCAAAGGTGTGCCTCTTGTTTATTTACCATCAGAGGATAAGAGAACCTCGATTTAGAACTCTAAAATAACGATTTTGACTTGTATTGTAGGCACGAGTTTCTTAAAAACCATGGGGATTGGATCAACACAGTTAAGCCAGCTATTGATCCAGTGATTTCTTCACAACTGCGTGAGAACCCAGAACTAAGCAATGACGAGATTGAGAACTTGAATACAATCAGGAACCAGATGCGGGTGGCTATCGGCTCACTTCTCAAGGTATTCCTGCTCTTCCATGCGAATGTCCACAACTTGAGCGACTTTGTATACATGCGTCTTGACTTTATCTTCTTTACGTGTTCCCATGCGTCAAGGATGATGGCATTCTGGTTATTCCAACAATGCCAGCTGTTCCTCCAAAACTTGGTAGCAAAGAGATAACCTCTGAAGACTATCAAAGCCGAGCTTCTAGTCTGCTTAGCATTGCTAGCATATCGGGCTGTTGTCAGGTTAAATCTCACTCCCTTATTGTTCCATTTCCAGTAGAGATGATGGTAAATGGTATATGGGCCCTCGAACAAATCAACAACAAAGCGATGACTGAACATATAGCATTAGTAAACACAATTTACATATTACGTGTCTAACATATATTGGTCTGATAATATAGGTGACTGTGCCGTTGGGACACCACGAGAAATGCCCTGTTTCAGTTTCTTTCATAGGAAGACATGGTGGTGACCGCTTTTTACTAGATACAGTGCAGACAATGTATGCAACTTTGCAAGAGAACTCCAGTATTATTGCCGATCCCAAATCATTTAAAAAGACTATCAGCCAAGAAGAGTCAGCTGAAATTGCCAAAGAAAAGGTCAATTAATTTCCATTGCAGGTCTCATTTTTCTCAAATGGCATTGTCCACTTTAGTCTACTGTGGTTCTCATATGTGTGTGTGTGTGTGTTTTTATTATCTCTTTGTAAACCAGGGTAACCAAGCATTCAAAGAGAAACAGTGGCAGAAAGCTATTGGTCTATACTCAGAAGCTATCAAGCTAAGTGAAAACAATGCCACTTATTACAGTAACAGAGCTGCTGCTTATCTTGAAATTGGAAGGTAATTATTTCTCTGCTCCTAAAAACCTTTTGAAGTGAGAGATTTTTCTTTTTTGCGACATAGCCTTGATAAGTCCTATACATACAGCTTTCTTCAAGCCGAAGAAGACTGTACCAAAGCCATTACTCTCGACAAGAAGGTAACTTTCTTTAAAACACAAAAGGAGGTTTCTCTTGCAAGAACACTCTTTGCCTTTGAATCTCAACCCAAAAAACAAAAATCTCTCTTTTTTTTTCAGAATGTCAAAGCCTATTTACGAAGAGGAACCGCAAGAGAAATGTTAAGCTATTACAAGGAAGCCATAGATGGTATGCTTTAAATAATCAGTCTGTTGGGTTTATGTCTTGTAGAATCTTGCAAAAAAACAAAGATTGACACTCAAATATTGTTTTTTCTCCTTGATTAAACTTTGCAGATTTCAAATACGCACTTGTGTTGGAACCTAACAACAAACGAGCGGCTCTATCAGCCGAGAGACTGAGAAAACTATTCCAGTGAGCTTCCTTCGTCCGTGCCTTACCGATCATTGAAAAAAAAACGTTTTGTTCTTTAGAATATATCCAAGAGTATAGGCCAATTTTGTTACACTTTGTTTTTCTAAATTCTAAACATGGTCCTATGATATTTAGGCAAATTATTTAGTTACCTTTTGCAAGCCTACGCCGAAAATGAAACTGAGTACGGAACTAAATACGATGTTAGTTCATGTTTAACTGTTTAAGGTTGCAACACAATTTTAGCGTTCACTAAAATTGGGTTTCAGAAACTAACGTTAATCCTAAATACAGGATACCGAAATTCACGGTCGTCTTCTATTCAATGTCAAATAGGTCATGCCTTTAATAATATCGTCTTTATTATCCATTTCTTTTCTCGCACGTTATCTTCTCCCCGCAAAAGCTTTCGCCTCAAAAGAAAAAGAAAAAAAAGGAACAGAGAACAAGAGAAGTCAAACCGAAAAGACCTGCCGGTTTCTTTATCGATAACGAAACTGACGAAGAAATTAAAAAAGAAACAATTGAATTCTCTTCACGGTGAGTAAATTCAGAAATAAAAAATTTTGTGTGTGTGTTTCACAAAGAGTCAAAGACTCTTAGTGTTTGATTCATTTTTGGCATATTTGTCATTGTGTTTTTTCTTCATTGTGAATACCTTTTTTTTCCCTGGTGAGTAAAACAGAATTTTCCGTTGTTCATGATTTTGGTTTGTCTGTTAATGTCCCTTTTCCCGGAAATCTTGAGTTTGTTTCTCAACCAGAAATTTTGAGATGATCTAAACGTGTACTTGCAGTGCATTCTCGACAAAAGGTATCGTAGAAAGTGAGCAAGACTATCGAAGATATATAATCAGAAAAAAAAAAGTAATTAAAGGAAAATGACAACGGCGGGTCCGGCGAGGACGAGCTCATTAATGGACGATCTCTTGGGACTCCTTAGAATCCGCATCAAACGTGGCGTCAATCTCGCCGTCCGTGACATCAATAGCAGCGATCCTTACGTTGTCGTCAAAATGGGCAAACAGGTAAGTAAACCACCAATCACCAACTTTACAATTTCACAATATCCATACGTACAAATGTTCTCTAATCATCAGGATTTGTTTTGTTTTTTTTGTCTTTTTTTTTAGCAGAAATTGAAGACTCGTGTCATTAACAAAGATGTAAATCCAGAGTGGAATGAAGATCTGACTCTCTCCGTCACTGACTCCAATCTCACCGTCCTCTTGGTATATATATATATATATTTACAGACCAAACCATGTATTAATAGATGTTTATATTTGTTGATATAAAAAAAACCATATAATATATGTTAATATGTTGTGTATGTACAGACGGTGTATGACCACGACATGTTTAGCAAGGACGACAAGATGGGTGATGCGGAGTTCGAGATAAAGCCGTATATCGAGGCTTTAAGGATGCAACTTGATGGACTTCCTAGTGGAACCATTGTCACCACGGTTCAGCCTAGTCGTCGCAACTGTCTAGCCGAGGAGTCACGAGTCACTTGGGTCGATGGTAAGCTCGTCCAAGATCTCGTTCTCAGATTACGACACGTGGAATGTGGAGAGGTCGAGGCTCAGCTTCAGTGGATTGACCTCCCTGGCTCCAAGGGTCTTTGAATTCCTTTTTTCTAATATTTGCCGTTACTTTGAGGTTTTTTTTTATTCAAATAATTGAATTAAACCTCAAAGCCAAACACACGAACATAATGGAGGAAAATAGTGAATTAGAAATGCGTATTAATTAATCCATGTGAGAATATAAGGATTAAGAACGTTGAGGGAAGTTTTTTATTGGTGATCGAGTCCGAGTCCGAGTCGAGCCGTGGTGGTGGACACGTTGGCGTATCGTCCATGTATATTTGGGTTAGCCTTAATCAAGGGCTTCAATTAACATGAACAACTAATTAATACAAACATCTTGTATTTTTTATATTGACCCTTATATAATTTAAAAGACACATAGACACATATATTCATATATTGTCAAGAGTTCTGAACAAAAAAAATAATAATCAATTCTTAGTAGTGCAGTAGTTAATCGTGATTTCAATCATAATTGGCTAAGGTGGATGTTCTAACTTTTAAATGACAATAGCGGGATATACTTGGAGTATTGAGATCTGAAAAAAAAAAGCTTGGAGTATTGAGGTTTATAGGTATTGAAAAGCACAGAATAAGTAATTTTAGCACCCAAAAAAATCACCTTTAAATTACGCTAAAAATCTACAAAGAAATATACTCTGAAACAACGAAACAAAAAAAAAAAATTCGAAGGGAAAAAAGAAACAAAAAGGGATAGTAGGTGAAGAGAATCCAGGTGTTCTGTAATGAGTGATGCACTATCGGTTATAAAATGACACAGCACGTGAACATAATTGTCCTTTAATATAACGTGTCACGAGAGTGACCGTGACGAGAGTGGAGCGTCTTTATACTTTTAATTATGCAAAAAAAAAAAAAATAAATAAAAGATTCGACTCCTGAGTCCTGAATGATAATAAGATAAAGTTTCTCATTTTATTTTAAAAGTTTGATAGATCCCGAGGGACCCAAATTTTGCCTTTCCCAATGAACGATCTAGAGATTCCCTCCACCAACTCCCCAAATTACTTGATTACTTTTACCAAAAACGACTATATTTGATTATTATTATTTTAATTACCTTCGTTTAGAGTTTCTTACAAACTTAATTGGTAACTGCATAAAACACTAAAATAGTTAAAAGACTTTAGTCAAAAAGAATAAACAACAATTGGTACTTGGTGGCAAAATAATTAAAACGTTATATACACTTCAATGTTGAGATAAAAAAGGTTAAATCAAACCTTTCAATGATTTGTTGTCTGAGTTTCAATAATGTACCTAGATATTTCAGAAGTAGACATGTATTACATCTAAAAAGAAAATACCACAATACCAGAAGTATAAATGCAAATCTATCAAGTAGATATAATATATAATATTAGCCATAACTTAAAGATTGACAACATTGATTTACTATATTTACACTTAATTACCGTAGTTGACCAAACAAACAAAATAAAAGACTTGTATTTACCCGACTGTTATTTTATTATTTACAGTCTGTAAGAGCCGAACTCGAAGGTGACGCCACCGTTTCCCTATAAAAAAGGCGCGCAAGAGCCACTCTCTCCGCCACAGAGAAACCAAAACTCCTCTCTCTCTCTCTATCTGATTACCATTTTCCCGAATCGACGGTGTGAATTGATGCAGCAGAGAGGGCGATCCGTCAACCGTAGATCAAGGAGCTTCTCTAGATCCAGACTCGCCGTCGAAGGCCATTAAACGAACTGTCTTGCTCTCTCTCTCACAACAGATTGTCTTCTTCGCTTCTTTTTTCCGACGAACGAACACCTTTTCCCAAAATGGCAGCATCGTACGGTGAGATCTCCCACTATATCCGTCGAATCTTACTCTTTTTGTTGGGAAATTCGGGAAAATGATTTAGTATTCTAGATTAGAGCACGTTGTTGAAAGCGATTATCGTTGGTTGATTAAACTATCGAAAATTGAAGAAAGAGAATGTTGATCTGATTTGATTCATTTCTTTTGTGAAATATGTGGAGTAGAGGAAGAGCGCGATATCCAGAAGAATTACTGGATAGAACATTCCGCTGATTTGACTGTTGAAGCTATGATGCTCGACTCTAGAGCCTCTGATCTCGACAAGGAAGAACGACCTGAGGTACCACCCACTTTTTGTTTTCTCTCTTATTTGATGGAGAAATTGGAATCACTGAATGTTCTTAAGAATCGGGTTTGAGACACACTATTTTGATTTGGTTGTTTGTCTCCATCAAAGAGTATCACTACATTGGTCTCTCGAATAGGGTATTTTGTATTTTGAATCTTATGAGTTGGTTTAATTGTGCAGGTACTCTCTTTGCTCCCACCTTTTGAAGGCAAATCGGTGTTGGAACTTGGAGCCGGTATTGGTCGATTCACTGGTGAACTGGCTCAAAAAGCCGGTGAACTCATTGCTCTTGACTTCATTGATAGCGTCATTAAGAAGGTTTATTACTTTAATCACCTTCGTTGTTAATGTTTCTCAACTCGTTGCTCATGACTTGTAACCTTTATTTCTTGAATGTTAAATTTCTTCTTTTTTGCAGAATGAAAGTGTCAATGGGCATTACAAGAATGTGAAGTTTATGTGTGCTGATGTTACATCCCCTGACTTGAAGATCACTGATGGATCCATTGACTTGATATTCTCCAACTGGCTATTGATGTATCTTTCTGACAAAGAGGTATAACATGGTCTTTTATTAAAAAAAAAAAAAAAATTGTATTGAGAAACACCAAGTAAGTTTTAATGGTATTGTTTGGATGCAGGTGGAGCTTTTGGCAGAAAGGATGGTTGGTTGGATAAAAACTGGTGGATACATTTTCTTCCGAGAATCTTGCTTCCATCAGTCTGGGGACAGCAAGCGGAAATCCAACCCAACTCACTACCGTGAACCCCGTTTTTATACCAAGGTTATTAATCAGTTTACATAAACATTGCATTTTAAAAACTGCAATTTCAGTTTTTAGCCGAGGAACAGTAGTAATAATGCCTCTTCTTAAGAATATGTTGAGACTTAGAAAGTTTCAGTAGGTTGGAATTGAAGAATATAGGATACATGATCACTTGAATTCCCTCGTATTGACTGAGATTTAAATGTTATACTATGCCTTGGTGTTTCTTGTTATGGTTTATCGATCTTTGAAGTAATGTCTCTGTCGACATATATGTAGTTACTTGTTTCTAAATCTTGTCCGAATGTATTTAGAAATGTACAACATATATTCTAACAAATCTGTCAAAGAAAATTATTGGAATATTTAAGTTCATTCACGTAGAAGTTATGTGGCATTTATAAATCTACTGAATAAAGTCGATGGTGAACAAATGTAGGTCTTTCAAGAATGTCAGACACGCGATGCAGCTGGGAATTCATTTGAGCTCTCTATGATCGGGCAAAAGTGCATTGGAGCTTATGTGAAGAACAAGAAGAATCAGAATCAGGCAAACCAAAACTCTGTCTATCAAGATTCTCTGACTTCCTTTTGTATTAAGATGGTAATCATGTGTAACACACTCTTCATCTTGTCGGTTGCAGATTTGTTGGATTTGGCAGAAAGTCAGCTCAGAAAATGACAGAGGCTTCCAACGTTTCTTGGACAATGTTCAGTACAAAGCCAGTGGGATCCTACGCTATGAGCGTGTCTTTGGACAAGGATTTGTGAGCACTGGTGGAATCGGTAAAAACCCAATTTTGCTTGTTCTTGTGTTCTGTGTCTTTATTTATAAGTACTTAGGTGTATTTGTGTCATGTTTCAGAGACAACGAAAGAATTTGTGGAGAAAATGGATCTGAAACCAGGACAGAAAGTGTTAGATGTTGGTTGTGGCATTGGTGGAGGTGACTTCTATATGGCTGAGAACTTCGATGTGCATGTTGTTGGTATCGATCTCTCTGTCAACATGATCTCGTTCGCGCTGGAACGTGCTATTGGACTCAAATGCTCAGTTGAGTTTGAGGTCGCGGATTGCACCACAAAACAATACCCAGATAATTCGTTCGATGTCATTTACAGCCGTGACACTATTCTGCACATCCAGGTACCAAACTTTATTTATCTCATCTTCTCTCTTGAAAGTTTATCAAAGTGAATGCTTACTCGCTCTCGCGCTGTCTCTTTTACAGGACAAACCAGCTTTGTTCAGGACTTTCTTCAAGTGGCTTAAACCAGGGGGTAAGGTTCTCATCAGCGACTACTGTAGGAGCCCGAAAACTCCATCTCCTGAGTTTTCTGAGTACATCAAACAGAGAGGATATGATCTCCATGATGTTCAAGCATATGGACAGGTTTGTTTTCTTTGTCAGTGATATGTTTTCATTTTTTGGTGGTCAAAACCATTTTTTTTTAGTTCTCTAACTCTAATCCCTTTATAACACAAATTATCAATATAGATGCTAAAAGACGTGGGCTTCAGTGATGTGATCGCAGAGGACCGAACTGATCAGGTAAATGAATCGAATATATACATTTTGAAAACCAATTGATGATAGCTTTAACAGAGTTTTGTTGTGTGGTGTTTTGTAATTACAGTTTATGCAAGTCCTGAGACGTGAACTGGAGAGGGTGGAGAGAGAAAAGGAAGAATTCATTTCCGACTTCTCCAAAGTGAGTATCGTTCAATCTCTCGGAAAATGAAATCTTTCCTTTTGCATAATATTTTGATTATCTCACAAAACTTAAATGAACGTAGGAGGATTACGATGACATTGTTGGAGGATGGAAGGCGAAACTAGAGAGAGTTGCATCGGGTGAACAGAAATGGGGACTTTTCATCGCCAACAAGAATTAATCAAAATCTCTCCTTCATCTTTCGTTTTCAAATGTGTTTCTTCTTCAAGAATAAATTAAATTATCATTTCCGTTCGGCAATGATGTTGTTATGTGTGACTTGAGTGTTTTTTAGTACCGAATGTTTCTTCTTACCTTCAATGTTTTCGGTTTACATATATAAACCGAATTTCGTTTGGTTCACAATCTTTGTTTCCAAGCAATTTGTTCTCTAAATGTTATGTTACGTGGTTTTCTTCTTCAGTTTAAAATCCGGTAGCAATAAATCTAATGCAACCGCGTTTTTCAAATTGAAATGTGGCTGCAGTTTTTTGTTATGGCTGTGGTTCGGTTCAACCCAACTTGAATTGAGCAGTATTTGATATGGATCGCGTTTGGTCATATTATATCTCAATCTGAAATAAGACCTCGTTTTAGGTGTCTTTTCCAGGCCCAAAAATATTGAATTCAATTGAAACTGTAACTTGTGAAAGAAAAATCCAAGAATTGTGATATAGGCTTTATAGGTATGGGTGTCAAAGCAAGCTAAAATATTTTGCCTTGTCTTACGGGTCTAGCCTACTTGTCAGTCCGTGGGTTTTTTACTTATCTATTTTCTTAGAGTTGTTTTTCAGAACTTCAGCTTGTGTATCTAATAAAAAATACAAGCATGATAGACTATATAGTTTTTTTTTTAATCAATCTTATTTAGTATATAAAAATAAACAAAAGTGTACACTATATATATTTAACAATAATTTTTATATAATTATTTAATGAAGGTATCCTTCCTGCATACATATTTAACATGTTTGAGACCGCCGTTTGCTGCCATTTAACTGACCCGCAAAGTCAGTTTTGGTTAACCCATGATATGATATGGCGGACGGTTTATTTCCAATCCGCGGATTTGAAGTCTTGGTTGACATCCCTATAAGTGTCTAAAAATCTAGATCTCATCGAATATATAGACTTTTATTTAATTAACTTGTACGTATTTTCACTCGTAGGCGCAGCCTGGGAGTAGCAAACGGAAAAAAATTTAGAAAAATTGTATGAAGAAAAACAATCCATAGGGTGTAAAGCTATATAGGACTGTGCAATATAGAGTGTGGAGATAATAAAAAAAAAAAGACATTGAAATCACACACACATACAAGACTAGATTCGTCAGACTCCTATTTAGGTTTTGACCCAACCCTACCTCGACTACACACACCTACTGTTCTATTTCTGTAATCAACAGTGTCAATTTCAATCTCTTTCAGTCAATTTATTTGCTGTATCGATCTATCAATTTCCCTATAAGTTATTTATATATATGTATATCCCAATGCTCAATTAACTAACTACACAAAACCCACGTTGAATACTATTACATGACATCGTTTTTGAAAAATACCACACACATATATATATATATATATCTAGACTATCAGGCTACGTCCATTGAATAGCTAATCAATATAAAATATACACAGAATTTTGATGCAGTCTTACATTGTCAGAATATAGTTATTGTGTATGTGTTGTATGTTTTGTCGACATTGTGTATATATATATATACACGTACACATACACATGTGACATATATTGTATTATGATGACCTCATGATAGGAGAGATCACTGACAATAATATAACAAAAAGACTTGAAAATAGGCTTTAATCGTTTTATCTTTGATAAATTGGTTTTGTCTCTCAAGGGTGAAGGAGAGAAACGAAGAAGAGAGTGAAATCACATGAAGCATTTAAAGCATAAATAAATTAGAAGAAAAAAAATGCAGCAGAATAAGAGGAGCGGGTGAGTCACAGCCAACCAAAGGTCCACCTCAATGCCTGTCACCATTTTGTCCCTCACAGTCACCTCTCTCCTTCAGTCTTGTCAATTCCTCTCTCTCCTCTTCTTCTTTTAATTTGTCTCTTCCATCGTCGGGTTTTCTTATTATTATTAAAAAGGTTCAAATTATATCAATGAGTAGTGTCCACAATATGCGACGATTTTTTTGTAAGATTTTAATCGTCATTTCATATTTTAGTTCATATATTGACCGCTCCGAGCTTCCCTTATACGAGATCATTTTTTAAAATATATATATAAATTAGGATGGACATTAGGACATAAGTTTAGGGACATGACCGACCTACCCGTCTATGCTACGCGTTCGAGCTTTAAACCTTGACATTCTCTTTCTTTTTTTTGTTCTTTCTAAATTTAAAGGATAGATAAATTAACTACGTTGTGCGAATACTACTGCTAAAAATAAATTATCTAAACTTATATATCCATCATGAACTTACATTTGACTCATAAGTATGAGTCAGATTTATGAATGATGGATCATTATTTTAGTTTCTTGTTTTAAACTTCAGCTATAAAGTTAAGTAGGGGTTTCTTTAGTTAGAGACAATAAGACTTACCCAGATACAAAACCATCCTTGCATATCATGCACTTATCTATATGTGCTTAATTGCTTATACACATATAGATTCGCAGGAGACATATATGTTTTTCGAAAGTATATATCTTGTACAAGTACATGTATATTTGTATCGTGTATATACACGATCACGCGAGTTAGGATCGTCTTGAAATTACACATGCATCTTCATGTGATATTGTTGTAATCTCTTCTATATACGTAAAACGTTTATAGGTTAGTGTCCACGTTGGTCTTGTGTATATATACCGTACAGACATCATTTTCTCTTTTTTGGGGGTCAAATTTCCCTGATCGTTATGTTATTTATAGCTAGATTATTTAATTATTTGTAGTAATTATTCAATCTTTATGCATGTAGTATGACACGTCATTGATAAGACTACGATAAATCAAATCGTGAAGACACAGATTAGTATGATCGATGAAAATAACCAAAAGATTATACCGTACGGTTATACTTTACCATTAATATTCGTTACAATTCACGAGAAGATTCATGTTTCTTTATTTCCTAACAACAAAATATATTGTCTGAAATTAAGATTGTACGTGTGGTAATCTGCCGACTATACGCGTACCCATTGATGTTTCTCTTCTTGCTTTTCCTTTTTTGTATTAATTGATTAAAGTTATGTTTTTGCTTACTTCCATGCTCGCAAGAATCACAAACACACAATCATCATGAAGAAGGAAAAAAGCAAATACAAAGAGAGGAAGCGTGAATGATAATGCATCAAAATAAGCAACCAAACAAATAAAATCACTATATATCTTTCTTCTAACATTATTATTAAAGAAAATAGTCTCATTGAATGGTACAAAGAGACATAAAAGAAAGAATGAATCTTTGGGAAAAGAAAGGAAAGTGTCGGGGCCTCTTCTATGAATAAGCCATTCAATATTTTATTTTCTGCTAATTTCTCTTTTGTCATGTCTCTTCTCTCCTATAAAAGTCACTCTTCTTTCATTTTCTCACGTTCTCTCTAGCTCTCAAATTTTGTCTTTTCCCCATTAGATAATAATGGTGGCTAGGCTTCCTTTCGCTCGTTAGTCGTCATACATATATGGTGTGGTATAATTCCATTTACAAAGTATTAATGGGATTCAAAATACTAATTAGGCTTTCATGAAAGTTTGTTTCGCCCATGTTCTATATATCATAATCTTTCATATCATCCAGAATAAAAATTTTCTACATCCTCATTAGGGTTTTCTAGTTTTAAATCGATATTAATTTGGAATTTCTATAATATGATACACAAATTGACCAGAAATATACTAAATGTACACATAGCTGGTTTCATGATTTGGAATTTATGTTTTGATCGCTTACTTACGTTTTCCCTGTCTTTACGTTTACATGTATTAGCAAATCAAATTTTTTCAGTTGAATCATTATTATCAACGCAAACATAAGGATAAACTCTTTTGTGATTAACTTGCATATACACATATAAAAAAGAAGATAGATATGTTTACATACTTTGTAATTTGAACATCCTGTTTTTTGCAGGAATTGATGCGAATTTTTTAAAATTATTTATGTGTAAAAAACAAATAAAAAGTAAACTTTTTACTTTGGAAATTAAACAATCAAGAACTTAATAATCATTTGAATATTGGTAATGGTACGTTCTACATAACGTAGTAACAAATTTAACAAAAGAAAAAAAAAACTTAATAAGTAACAAACATGTAGAATATATGGTGGTTGACGTTGAATATGAGGAAGATAACTAATATATAAATAGCAAGTGTAAAAGCAATTTGTTGGTGATTGACAAACAAAAGGAAGGCATTTTGTTGGTATGCAAGTGAGAAAAAACAAACCAAGTCCCAAACCAAATTTATCCCACTCTCTTAGTCATTTCAACATCAACCCAATTCTTTTTGTCTCTCGCACATTTATAACTCAAAGGTACGCATGCCAAAAATGACACATATACAATATATAGATCATGTGTGTATGTATATATATAGTGATTTTTTATGATATAGCTAGTAAGTTTAAAATATATTTATATATATATAATATACAGTATTGATAATATATATATAGTAATTATGCCTTTTAAAAAAAGAGATGTAATTGAATATTAACGAGTACCCATTTTAGTAACACTTGATATCATCACCAAATAACCTCTATCACCAACCAAATCAAGAAAAACCCTAATACAGCACATCCACACAAATGTGCAAATCACATTTTTTTTTTTAATTTTTTTTTCTTAATTTTTTCTTTTGGCTCGTTTTAACATTTAAAGAAAGTGGTCCAAAATGCATTTTAAGGCAAACCTTATGAAAGGTTAACATCAACACCGTAAAGACAACCCTGCCCTTACCCCCAAACAAACCCTAATTAATTAATCTATTTTCTCTCGCTCTAATTCGATTGATTAATTGATGTAGTTGTCTAATAAGTAATAAAACAAGAAGATGTTGCTCTTGGAAAAAATAGGGTTAGTTCTTCAATGGAAGAAACTCATAGAAACTGTGAATACCACTCTCTCTCCCTTTCTCATCATCGCCACCATTGCCACAAAACCCTTCTTTTCTCAATGGAAACAGCTCTAGTGTCTGTTCTTGATGATCGGATTCATCGTTAGAGCAATCTTCATGTTGTTCTTGATCTTTATTGTCGTGACATGTCTCTGTGTTCATTGCTGCTCTTGCTCTCAGTAATGAAGGTGAAACTACGACGACCGTATCTTTAGCAGCGGGAACAGTGCTGTTGCTAGTGGACATGTTGGACAAAACAGTCGTTGAATTGAGAATCAGTTGATGATGATATTGATGTTGTGAAGAAGGGTAGGGTCCATGTGGCAACTGCATCATCTGCCACGTCCCATTTCTCCCAGGAAAGCTTTGCCTCTCGTCTCCTCGATGAAGACCATTGCGCTTCTTTGCTACCATCGATATTGAGACAGGATCCTCCTGATGATGATGGTCACGAGGTTTCTAATATTCAAAAAGAAATTCAAGATTTTTGATATTAAAATTAGTCAATTACTCGATTAGCATTGGAAAATGTAAAACTCGGTAACAAATAAGTCAAACTCTTGGCAAAGCGACAAACTTTATGCTTAAAAAAAGAACTAACATTACACAGACCAAAAAAATAATCTGTGAAAACAATATTCCAGAAAGGGACCGTTGAAGATTAGGGTCAAAACGGTCTTTTCAAGCATGTGTTGGAGTAAAAACACACTGATTAATGGAAATTCAGCCAAAACAAGATGAAAAACAAAAAAATCGATCGTACGTAGCAGCTGTCCGACATGAAAGAAAGACTCTGCAGCTTTTTGGATCAATCCATTACATCTAAAACAAATAGGAGTATTTAAAACAATCAAACTAATAATTCTCTGCTAAAAAATTCTTTTTTACATTTCCAATAATCTAACTATTTTGGTCTTTTCAATTTCCACTGCCTCATCTTCTCTCTCTGCCTTTGGCTTTTTGTTTTGTTTCAAAGTTTACCCAAGCTTCCAAAAAAAAAAAGAATTCACTTACTCTTAAGAGATTCTCTTTGTAATCATATGCTAATTATACCAAATCATAAACCTTTAATTAAATTCCGTTTCTCCAATAAAAGACTACCAAGAACATCACCATATATATAATACGAGCAACATATACAATAATGAATATATAGAAACAAACATACCTTATGAAAATTTTTGAGAAAAAAAACATATTTACCTCTGGTTGTGTGTCGCATCCGACCGAACATATCCAGCTTTTGGTCTGTTCAACATTGTAACCTGAAATTTTCAAATAAAAACTATATTCAAGATTTGAAATTCAGAAATGTAAGTCTACCTCCATATTCAGTTTCTAATTCTATGGTCTCTCACCTAGTTGTTCTTTCTTGTCGAATCCGTGGTTTGAGACAGAACTAGTTGTCGTAATGACCGATTCGTCGTGTCCATTTTCCATCTGTCGGCGCCGTTTCTGACGTTCACGGGCTTTGTGGTTTTGGAACCAATAGAAAACGTTTTTGCCTTCTATCTTCCCGTAACGTCGTAGCTGCGCGGTGATTTGTTGGATATGGTCGGCCGAAGGAGTTCTAGTTCCTTGTCGGTAAAGCTCTTCAAGAACCCTTAATTGATCCGGCGTCGGATTCCACCGTGAACTCACCATTACCGGTGGATGATGAGGTTCAGAGTTTAGCATCATCAGCTCCCTCTTGTTCTGCTCCGCCGTCATCGTCACCACTGCTTCGAAAATCATATTTAACAAGCAATAAAATGAGCATTAAGAACAAGAAAGATAATTCTTTTATTTTGTAGTTTAGACAGAGAGAGAGGGAGAGCTATAGGTACCCATATTAAAGCGGTGGTCGGAGTTAGTGTTTGCGGCGGTGGCGGTGGGACAAGAAGAGAGGCGTGGGATGAGAGGACGAAGCTTTCTTGCTCCGTTGAAGGAATCTGCACCTCCTTCGTTATAACCCATCATCCACATTTTAACCTATGTGTTTTATATATGTTTATAGCTGACGGGAGAGAGAGATACCAAGTAAATAGGGCTTTGTTAATTTTATCGAAATTTAGGATATGTGAATGATATGGTTGAAGGAGGAAATAGACAAGTAGTAGAAATTGTTATTGGCTGTTTTCGACTGATGGGTGTGAAATAGAGTGATAAATTTGAGATATATCTCTGTATGTGAACGGAGAATGGGAGCATGCAAATGGGGTTTTGTAATAAGACACATATGTATATATATATATATATAGAGAGAGAGAGAGAGGACAATCCAACACAATCTTTTATATTTTTTCACACATTAACATGCATTCTACATATGGATTGAATTTTATATTTATTTTTACTTTGTTCGATTACATTTATTCTATATATTCTCTACTGAACTTCAAAACACCACATATATTTTTCAAAACACCAAATACAATAGAATCTTTGATTAGCTAATTAAACGACATATATACTTTTCCATGCAGAGTGTACTGTATTCTATTATATTACCAGTGAATTTTATTATATCATTTATTTGTACTGAGTATTATGGCTTGTTTAAAGTAATTCGTTATGGCTTGTTTTAGTTATTCATTTGCACAAAGCACTATACGATTAATGTAACCTGTGTATACTTTATAGACAGTAAACATGGATGTATACTTACATGAAAAATGTTTTCTACTCCAAGTAATTCACAAATGGCAAATCTAAGAATTATAGTGCTTGCGTATATGTACTAGAAAAATACTATTAAAAACGTGGTTAGTTTGCGGATTAGTACACCTAAGCACTATACATAAAACCGGCATTCAAACAGATTCAACGAAAACACTACTAAGTAAATGATTCAGTAGATTCATTGATTGTGGTTTCTTTTAGGAAACATCCGATAAAAAATGAAACTTAGCAAAGAAAATTAGCATGGTTATTACGCAATAAGGACATGCACCAACCAAACCAGGATATGAGCTCGGATTGACTAATATTACACTTCACTAAGCGATATGTTGAATGATGTAACTTTATTCTTAGTATAAAGACAGATAACAGTAACTGTACAACATATTAGTATGTTCAAAACATATTAGTATAATTTTATGAAAGAAAAGGGGGAAGATGAGGTTGACTAGTAAGAGGAGAGAGAGAGAGAGAGGTGGGGGTAGAGAGAGAAGAGCGTGGAATTCTGGGGATATGAATGATATGGGGAGATGCGAAGGAGCTTAAAACGACGTGACATTCTCCCATCTCTCCCCATCACTCCTTTTCTTTCATTCTTTTTTTCCTTTTTTTTCTAACTTCTTCTTTGACAAAAAATTCTTTCGTCCAAGAATTTTATTATTATATGAGTGTGATCCTCTATATGAGTATCATTTTTTTTGTTTCTACGAAATATATATGAGAGATAAAAGTATATGTGTGTGGTGGCTTTCACTATTATTCTTGTTCTCAACTGCCCCATAGCTTTGTCTCCTTTACACTCTTCACCTCATCTCCTTTGTCTCTCTCAAACCCACTTTTCCATAAATCCCTTTTCCTCCCTTCTTCTCTTAGGGATCTTAAATCCCCTTTTTCTGTCTTTTCCCAAGCCCTAATCCTTTTGTTTTTTCTCCTTTTTTGGACATTTTCACAATATTTTAATCCTCAGTTTGCAAAAGACGTAGTACTAAATAAACATGTCTTCTTTATTTGTTTTAATGATGATCATGTGATGATCAATGTTACGTAGCTAAATATAGCTAGACGTTACAGTGATTATTGTAACACATTATTAGTAACGTCGTTTTTTTTCTTGGTGAAAAATCATATCTTAGGTTTTAAAAAATAAATATGTTTAGATGTATATCTTTTAAAGTTTATATAAATGATTTTTTTTTAGAAATTGATGAAACATGTGCAATTGACTGTAAATTTTTTTTTGAAATCGGTCGACTCAGCTAGAGTTCTTCAAACAAATTAACGTGTATATACTAGTTAGTCTAGTTTAATCATTCACACGATCAAATTCGTCAACCAATGCTGGCTTTCTTCAAACTTGTATTATGTTGTTCCAAAGCAAGCTATATACCAATTTACCATAAGTTAATTCACACGCACGTTCCTTTTGAGCTGTTCATTGTGATCGTAATAGTAGTAGTAGTTAAATACAACGGCTTCAATTGAATTTGTAAGAGATTATAAGTATTGGAATGATTATATATATATGCTTGATTTAAAACTGAATCATCATTTATCTATTCCAAATTTAAAGTCTTCATTAGCGTACAAGTTAATCATTTTAAACATAAATATAAATCTATAATTAGTTGGACGATCATTTTAAAACACAAAATAAAGTCTATAGGGGAAATATTAAGAATGTAATTACTTTCCAGAAAACTTCTCAATTATTCACTACTAAGGGGAAAAAAATTACATACTCTATAGATTTAATTAAGCTGGGCTTGTCGACCAAAAAAACTGGGCTTACATTAGGCCCAACGAAATTAGTAGCTAAGGCCAACGAAACAAGATTAGCTAGGCCCATCGGGCGATAATGGAAAGAAAACATCTGTGTAACTCTTTCTTTTGTCATATAAAAAACCGGTTTAAGAGGCAAAAACAGAGATACCCGAGAAGTTATGCTCTTCGTCACTCGCCTGCTACTGCGAGCCAAACAGAGACAAAATGGCTTCTATTACACTTTCTTCTCTAAACCCGTATACTTCTCTTCTGCCTCTGTATCCCAGTTGCAGAAGAGTGATGTTGTTGAAGCTCGAATACACTCCGAAAAAGAAGACGATGCAATAGAAGCAGAAGATCGTAGGCGCAATGTAACCGATAGAGCTTACTGGAGAAGACGGATACACAGCTCCTGCACCGTACGGAGGAATCCCGATGAAGCTCTCCGGATTCTCGACGGCCTCTGCCTCCGTGGGTATCGTCCCGATTCGCTTAACCTGAGCAGTGTGATCCACTCTCTTTGCGACGCCGGGCGATTTGACGAAGCTCACCGTCGGTTTCTCCTCTTCGTCGCTTCAGGTTTTATCCCAGACGAGAGAACTTGCAACGTAATCATTGCGAGACTGCTAGATTCGGGATCGCCGGTGAGTACCTTGGGGGTTATACACCGTTTGATCGGTGTCAAGAAGGAGTTTGTGCCATCGTTGACGAATTACAACCGTATGATCAATCAGCTTTGTTTGATCTATAGGGTAATCGATGCGCACAAGCTTGTGTTCGATATGAGGAACAGAGGGCATCTCCCGAATGTTGTGACTTACACCACTCTAATCGGTGGTTACTGTGAGATTCGAGAGCTTGAAGTTGCCCATAAAGTGCTCGATGAAATGCGTGCGTTTGGCATAAGGCCTAATTCTCTTACACTGAGTGTTCTTATTGGTGGGTTTTTGAAAAGGCGAGATGTTGATACAGGACGGAAGCTGATGGAGGAACTCTGGGAACACATGAAGGATGAGACTGATACATCATTGAAAACAGCAGCTTTTGCTAATCTCGTTGATTCCATGTGCAAGGAAGGGTATTTCAATGACATTTTCGAGATTGCAGAGAACATGCCACAATGCGAGTCCGTGAACGTTGAATTTGCTTATGGGCATATGATGGATTCCTTGTGTCGATACAGGAGAAACCATGGAGCTGCGAGGATTGTTTATATAATGAAGAGTAAAGGGTTGATACCGAGAAATACATCTTACAATGCTATAATTCATGGTTTGTGCAAGGATGGTGGGTGTATGAGAGCTTATCAATTGCTAGAAGAGGGTTCTGAATTTGGGTTTTTTCCGTCTGAGTATACTTATAAGCTCATAGTGGAGAGTCTATGCAAGGAATATGACACCGATAAAGCAAGGAATGTTCTTGAGCTGATGTTGAGAAAAGAAGGAACAGATAGAACTAGAATCTATAATATCTACCTACGAGCTCTCTGCGTTGTAGATAACCCGACTGAAATCCTGAATGTACTGATCTGTATGCTTCAGGGAGACTGTAGGCCCGATGAGTATACACTTAACACAGTTATTGATGGATTTTGCAAGATGGGCAGGGTGGATGATGCCGTGAAAGTTCTTGGCGATATGATGACAGGGAAGTTCTGTGCACCTGATGCTGTGACTTTAACTACTGTTATGTGCGGCTTGCTTACTCAAGGAAAAGCAGAAGAAGCTCTTGATGTGTTGAATAGGGTTATGCCAGAGAACGGGTTTAAGCCAGGTGTTGTTACATACAACGCTGTTATCCGTGGGTTGTTTAAGCTACATAAGGGAGATGAAGCTATGTGCGTGTTTGATCAGATGGTAAAGGCTGGTGTGAGTGCGGATAATACTACCTATGCTATTATCATTGACGGGTTGTGTGGGACTGGTCAGGTGGATATGGCGAAGAGGTTCTGGGACGATGTGATATGGCCATCAGGCAGACATGATGCGTTTGTGTATTCAGCATTACTGAAAGGGCTTTGTCGGTTTGGTAATCTAAGTGATGCTTGCCATTTCCTATACGAACTGGCGGATTCTGGAGCAGCTCCTAATGTTGTGTGCTATAATATTGTGATTGATGAATGTAGCAGAAGTGGGTTGAGGAGAGAAGCGTACCAGATTTTGGAGGAGATGAGGAAGAATGGTCAGGCTCCTGATGCTGTTACATGGCGGATACTTGATAAACTACATGATCTACAACCTCAGGAACAGTTTCAAAAGCAATAAATTTTCATGTGTTTGGTCTCAGGCATCTTAGCCTTTTGAATATCATCATCAGTGGTAGAAGTGAAACAGGTTTTTGTTATACCTAAGCTTTGTGTGAAACTAAGAACAAGTGGCCTTGTTCCTTCCTGAGTTTTTTGGCCGGCAAATTCAAAAGTTCAGAGAGATCAAATTGGTGAATACTTAGCAGAACTGAAGAGAACATGGAAAAGCGAGGAAATAAACTTACATGAGTAGAGCCAGTGCAAATCGTTCTACACACAGCTATTTCAAGATGTACAAAGACAAGCATACAGAGTGATAATCTATATTCTAGGATAGTGAAAACAGGACCAAGCCAATGCCAGACGGAGACCATGGTTTAGCTTGTCGCGCCACTTTGCTGATGAGCCTGCGACTCCCAGAAGAGCCTGACAGTGGAATAGATCAGAGAAGGCTCAGCCATTGCGCCATTACCGTAGTCTCCACAGGCCAGTCTCTTCTTGATCGGAGGAATAAGTGTGATTCCCAGTTCATCGAGCGACAACAAATGCCTTTCAGTGAAAGGATTGTTCCACATAAAAGTGTTCATAGCTGGTGCAACAAACAGTGGTTTGCTATAGTCCCAAGCTCGTATAATGCAAGTCAGAAGATTATCACAGAGCCCACCAGCAATCTATAGAGACATCAAGTGGTTTCATATCACAAGATGGTGAAGAATTCTCAAACTCTAGATGGTGTGGATTTAAGATGTTTACCTTGCCCAATGTGTTAGCGGACAAAGGAGCAATGACCAAAACATCAGCCCAACGTCTAAGCTCGATGTGAAGCACGGGATCGCCGATCTTGTTCCAGCTTGACCACTCATCTTCGTCAGTGTACAGAGTCACTTCCTGTGGGAGAGAGAGTTTGTCGAGGAAATGCAGAGATGTTTTGGAAACGACGGCTCTCACTTCTGCCCACTCTGTGAAACAATGGCAGAGATTGCCGAATTTGATAGCGGCGACGCTTCCGCTTGCAGCAAGTAGTACACGGGGCTTCCTCGGTGCGGTTATCACTTCCATGTCTTCTCTGTCTCTTTTCCCAATCTCCATGCCGCCCCTTTTGGACCTCTAGAGATCTTTGGGGAAGACGATGGTTCGGCGAGAGGAACCCTAACCGAAAATTGATCTGGTCGAGAGTGAAATATCAAAATGTTTAAGAGGGAAGAGAGAGATAGAGAAAGGACGGACATTCTTCATTGCTCTCATTTTGTCGTCGGTCAAATGGGCCGTTGACTCACTCTTTTTGGGCCTCAGTCTTTTGTATGGGCTTTATCCCTTATAGAAATCTACAACTGAATCACGCTTCTGTTTTTTATAAATATCTTGACCAGAGTAATAAGTGTACTAGGGCTAGAATTATTATCCGGTATTTGATCCGGTATCCGGTTATATCTATTCCGTAAAAATCGAATATCCGTGTAGTTTGGATCCGGATCCGAATAGTAAAATTAAGTATTCGTTTATTTCGGATACGGATCCGGATAATAGAAAATTTTGAAATCAGATATCCGTTATCTGTTTGTTAAATATTTATTTATTTTTAATAATATTTATTCATTTTTAAAATTAACTTTAGAATTATTTTTTGTTTAATTTCTTTACATATGATTGAAATTCATATTCTGTGATAATTTTATATTTTAGATTGTGAGATAAAAACATAAAAATGGATAGCATATGGAAATGAAGATAAATTAAATTTTCTATTACTATTTTCTCTTTTGTTATGTAAACTTTTAAACTTTATGCTATTTGAATGTTACTTGAATGTTTTTTAATTTTTGCTATTTGTAACTTGCTATGATGATACATTTTAATTATTTATGTTATCTTATTATAAGTTTTAAAAATTAAAGATTTTTTTTTTAATCAACAAAACCGGATATCCGATCGGATATCCGTAAATATTCGGTTCAAACCGAATATCCGATGTCTGAATATCCAAAGTTTTCGGATCCGGATCCGGATAGTAAAACTGATTATCCGGTGGATCCGGATATCTTGAAAAGTTTTCCAGGCCTAGTGTATACTGTATAGTAATGACTTGACTGATAATGCTGAGGAAATTCTCATTGATTGGCATCAACGACATTATTTTCTTAGTCGCTGCAAAACCTTAGCACCCAAAAATAATTGCTTCCACTGTCAAATTCAATAGGTCGATTTGAGATAACCTCTAAACAGCTTCCGAGTGAAATAGTAGACATGGAATAGATACGTGATAATAATACGAAATTTATTGGACCTCCTAAAACTAACATTTGCAAAACGGAAGCAGAATAGAGGAAAAGATTAAGAAAGAAGAAACTAGAGACATAAGAGAGAAACATCCCACTAATTTACAGCAACCCCTTAGTGTTTGGTTAGAGAGACTCACACCGACAACACCATCAAATGGTCTTTTGTTTGTTCTTCAGCAAACTATTAAATTTAAAATTCCTTATAGGTTTTAGTTAACATACGAACCAACACCTAACACCAAAAGAACACTGCTAACCACAAACACCAAACGCTATATGTCTAGGATGTTTCTGTTTTTCGATCATTATTCTTCAGAACAGAGCTTCTTGCATTGCCTCCGCTTCTGTCTGGGTCTGGGTCTGTGCTTGTTCTCCTCCTCCTCCTTCCCTTTCTTGTCCCAGTTCTTCTCCTTGTGTTTCAGCTTCAGTTTGAGTTTCCGGCTGTGGTGCTGCCTCTTCTGGCTGCACTTCTTCCATGGCTTGTGGCTCAACAGTCAACATCGGTATTAGTCCTTCCAGCTCTTCCATGGCTTGCACCACTGCATGATTGTCGCTGCTTGTAACCCCAGCTTTCAACACGTTCAAGATTTCTTTTGCTTTCTCTTTCTGAATCATTTAGAGACCAAAACCAAACATCAGAAATCAGACTCAGGAATTTAATCTGCAAAACGAATCAACTTAAAATGACAAGACTGTTTATTAGTCGACTAGACTTACAAAGAAGTCAAGCTTTCTCTTGAGTTCTCCATAGGCAGGTTCTTGTGTCCCAGTAGCTCCAGTGACTGGCCATGTTGTGTTCTACGTTCATAAATGGAAAACAAGTCGGATATAAGTACAACAAATTCAAGACACACAATAATGGTTAAATAAAGAAAACTCTTAACTTCTACCAACTGACCCACGTTTCTACTTAAAGGAATAAAGTAAGCAACAAGCCAGATTAGTCTTCACAATATTTGAGAAATTTATAAGTTAATGACCAGCTAAAGGGAAACACCACCGACCACTTTGTCTTAATTATCCAAATGAGATTAAAAATATCCAAATGAGATTAAAAATAAGAATTGAACACACGGAAACCAGAAAAGGATACGCCAAAAGCGAGGGACACGAAAATAATAAAACCAATGGAACCTAGTCAGGTCAAGATTCTCTCTTACAAGCTCGAAAACAAACAATGCTCAAAAGTGGAAAGTGACATTGATTGAATTCACAATTGTTTACTCCCAAGTATGAAACTTTCTCATTCCAAATTGACGGCGGAGCAGTGAACAATTACGCACAGTAATAACCTCGGACATTGCGAATTTAAGTCAATCAAAGGTCACAGACACTGACCAATCAGAGAAAAGGGAAAAGAAATTACCTTTCTGGGTCTGCCTACGGGACGTCCTCGTCCACGCTTTGGCTTCGTAATAAGCCTATTCATAACACCACCGATCTTAGGTGGCCGTCCTCGTCCACGCTTCATCCCCGGCGCAACCGCAACCACTTCTCCACCTGCAGGAGCAGCTGCGATGCCGCCGCTAGAGTCAACTCTTCTCGGCCTTCCTCTGCGCCTAGCACCGTTAGCGACGTAAGGAAACACAGAGGCAGTAGCCGAGACAGATTTGGGCTTCCTCTGTCTCCCAGTAGCTCTACGACCCGGTGGTCTGCCTCTTCGTTTCATGATTCCAGCCATAACCGCAGCTTGAACGATTGGAGCAGCTCCGTTCTTCCTTGGACGACCAGGTCGTCTCTTTGCAGACTCCGAACCCACTTCGGTCGGATTTGTGACAGGCAATTCGTGTTGTTGTTGTTCCAAGCTTGGCAGTCCGTTAGACTGGGAGGTATTGGGTTGAGCAACAACGCTTGGTTGTTGTTGACCTTCGGGTTTAGGTTTTGGAGGTCGTCCACGACCTCGCTTCAGAGGCTGAGAAACAGAGCCAGAAGCAGAGACAGCCACCGGATCAAAGGGTAAGGGACCGGTGTTACTCGGAGGAGTCTCAGATCTGGGAACTTCCAGACCTGAAGCAGCCACAGCACTCACCGGAGGAGGAGAAGAACCAGCGAGCTTGTAGGATTTCTTCACCATGGCAAGCACGCCACTGTTCTTCAAGGTTTTGAGATGGTGGGTCAATAGAGCTCCGTGAGAAGGAGGTAAAACGGGTTGGAATCTCTCGATGTACCTTGAAATTGCCATCTTGCTTGAACCATCTGGTTCGTTTAAAGCCCCAATCGCTGCGCAAATCATCTACACACAGAGGAAGAAAAAAACGTTGGTAACGACGAAAGAAAAAAGCTAACCGAATTCAGTTAAAGGAGAAGACTTTAGATGAGAGCTTACTTGGGAGTAAGGAGGGTGGTTGAGGGAAGGATGGGGAGGAAGAGGAGCTCCCTGAGAAGGAGGCGTTTGCGTTTGCGGTTGCGGAGGCGGCTGCGGTTGGAAGACATGGTTGTTGTATGGATTCTGGTTAACCGATTGTCCAGCGAAAAGGGGATGATTCGGATTCGGAGCCGAGACGAAGGGGTTGTTGGAGGTGGGATATGGATGGAATGGAGTGAACTGAGGAGGATGGTGATGATCACTCGATATAGACAGAGATGGATCCATTGATTTTTTTTTTCTTTGAGAAACAGTGAAAAAAAAAAAACAGAGGAAGGTGAGATTTAGTTTTTAGGGTTTTTTCTTTTCTTTTATTTTTTTTCTCCCACTTTTGATTATTGTTTTAGTGTGCGTAAAATAAATAAAATTTGGGGAAGAAATAGATAAAGTTAGGTTGGGCGATAGAGGGAGGCAAAATGAAGAAATTGGTGGAAATTGCGATTACACTTAAATCTCACCGTTGAACATTTTTTAAATCGATGGTTTTGACGAGGATCGATGACGTGGCGTCTAAATTTTGTTTTTTTAATTTTGAGTTTTGTGTTTGTTTACCTCTCTTTTTTGGGCCTCTTACCGGTTATATTTTCGTAACAATCACCCAAAATGAAAAATGGACCGCCAAAATTTCTAAAATACCGCCTCACTTTCCGTGTAAACAATTTTGTAAACAAGATATAAACTGTTTTTTGTTTTTAAATAAAAACATTAAAGGAAGTCTTTTTATATAAAGTACATAAAGGAAGTCTAGCAAACATTGCTGCATCAAGTAAATTATGTGACAAACTCCATCAAAGAGTGTGTGTGATAAGTACTTATATAAATAGGTCAACCGAGCTTGGAAATATACTACAGCAGTAGTTCCTTTTAGGTCCTTTTTAGCTTGTGTAACTGATACAGTCGAATTATTTTTTGATTGAAGTTTATATTCACTAAAAAAGTTTGATCAAATATATGTTTTAACACCGAGTTCTATAAAAATACATCAAATATATTGAGATGATCATGTAAATGTGTGTTATTAATTGTTAGTGGCATGTGTCTAGTTCAAAGTTTTCTTTTTTTTTATAGTTTTTCCGTTTCACGCATTCAACGTTTGAGTTAGTTACGCATTTAACTCTAATGTTTAACTTTTAGTAAAGACAAAAACTGTTTCAAAGAAAATTTTAAATGTTTGCTTATGTGTGTTTTTGGTTTCAAGCGATAAGATCAATTCTCATAGGAGACTATGGAGGGTGAAGACACTATATATAAGATCCAGAAAGTTTGATCAAATAATGCTGAATAATTAAACCCACATTCGAAGCCCGCCTTTTCGCCACATGCAAATTAAACAGACATTACATGTTCTTTACTAAAAAATAAAATGTTGGTAGCTGGTTGACAAAAGAAGAAAAGAGGGAACACAAAGTAAAGCGCATTCGAGTAGGGAGCGATGGTTATGTTCGGTGATCAAAGGTTTTGAGTTTTATTTTGAAATGAACTTCGTATATAATTAACCGCGATTTAAGTGGAGTTTAGTATCATGGATCTCATCGAGATTACAGTTTAGGTTAAGCCTTAAGGAACCCGTTTTTGCTAAAGTTAGTGTTATTGTCTACTTTCAAACAACTCCAGCGCATTCAAACGAGATATCGAGAGCACTTGTCATGAGACTAAACTATCAAGTGAAGTAGTAACCTCGCAATATGTTTAGGTTTCTTTTCAGTTTTCTTACGGAGTTACGGTGATATATATTAGTCAAAGACGTCGTCATTTCATTCAGAATGATGTATAGTTCTTTTTTTAGAAGATTAAATAATATCAGAGACTGCTAACTCTAACTGACGAAAACAAATATTTCGTTTTGTGCATGCCATATGATTCTACTTAAGATTAATTGTTTTTAGTTATAAAAATTTAGCCATTTAAGGAAGTTATGGACATTTTAATTTGGTGATGCGGGGAAGACTCTATTAACACTGGCATCAAGTCATCAACCTTATTTTGGCTAGTTTAGACAAAAACTCAAAGTTGAGAGTTGATAATTGGAAACTTAAACATGTAGGAAAAATTAATATGCTAAACACAAGCAATTAAAAGTTGTTGATTTAATTTCTACGATTTTTCCTATAAAACTAATTATACCTTATGTCAAAAAAGAAAAAGAAAAACTAATTATACCTTTTTATTTAGCTGTCAAATGGTTTGATAAATTATTCTATAAAACCATTTTGGTGTATATGACATTCACGTTTTAAGATAATCATTTATAATAGATAACTAACGAATTGGCCTGTTAAAATAACGAACATATATATACAATTCTGCAAACAAAAAAAAAAGAAGAAAATAATTAATATCACATCCTATTTTACCGCTTTGTGTCACGAGTCGGACACAATAACTATAGTACATTATTGCATCACGTACCACCTCAAGAAATAGTAGAGAGTGGTGACCACTCAAGGTTCAACTTTAACCTTAGCCTAGTGATTTTAATGCAGCACGTACGATATCTATGTTTATCTATTTATATGCTTGTGTTGTGTGCGTGTGCTCGAATCATTACGCAATAGCCAAACAGAAAAACAATCAAAAAGTTCTTTAACAAAAAAAAAAAAAACAAATCAAAACGAGGCTGATAAATGACGCACTGGTCGATAACCAATAGTCATTAATCAGTAGAGCTAATGACTACATTACGACTTACGCTACCATGTCTGGAGTCTCTGGACAATATAATACTCTGATATAATTATTAAACATATGGAATATGCTAAACTAACGTACCTTTTTTTTTTGTTATTGAAATGTTTGATTGTAGTCGACTAATGGTGGAAGTTACGTGTGTTGATATTGTGCTTTGTCAAAAACTTCAAAACCTCTATACTACATGTTTAGTTCAAAATATAAGATTTGTGTTTACTTAAGATTAATTGGCAGTATTAACGACATAAAAAACCTTATTTTACACACGTTAACGGACCAAATTATGAGACATCAACACATGGTTTACTTGTATAATAGTAATGGGCCACAACATGATCTGTGTGCACGTAATTAACAGTATTTATGATCCTCTTTGTCTCGAATTTAAAAATTAAATTATCAATGTGTATGCTTTGTTTTGGGACTTCAAGTTACGACCGGAGACGTGCCTTAGAAGAGTTACAGGACAGACATTGGCTGGCATATCTTGTAATCTCTCAAACATTACAAAACTCTTCTTTCATTATTTGGACACTGGACCCCACCAACCACCATCTCCATATTTTTATTCTCAATACAATCAATAAAATCATGTTGTCCCCTAACATTTTTAATCCACACATAATCAAAGTAGGGGAGTTATACGATTTGTTAGCCTAAATTTTCCTAAAAAGTAATGTAATATGCGGACGGACGTAAGTTAATTTAACAAATATCTAATGTGTTAGTTATAAATTTATTATAGTTTATGATAAAGCAAAAATTTCGAAAACGACGAGTGAGAAAAAGAAGCCATGTGAAGTTATTTAAAAATAAAAAAGTAATGTAAAATAGTCAAACATGCCCATTAGCAGCACACGCTGCACGTGCGAACGCACGTGCCAAACCCTTTCGCCTTCTCTCCTCTGTAACGCTCTTTCTTCTTCTTCTTCTTCAACCTTCCGCATCCTTCGGACAAGAGAGCCAAACAAAAAAGACCTTACGAAGAAGAAAATAAATAATGGAGAGTCGAAAGAGAGAAGCACGCCATACCTGAGAGATTCATGCGTCGACGACTTGAAACATTTTACTAATAATAATTATTATTGTCAAAATCGATCGATAATAATAATTATTGTTAATAAAAAAATTTAATTAAGGAAAGAAGATAGAGAAAAAAAAAAGTGGTGGTGGAGGTGTTTGATGGGTGCTAGTCACAGCACCAACGTTAATAATCATTCTTCTCAGCCTCATTCTCGGAATCCTTCGAATCATCTGAGCAATAGCTCTCGACACTGTGGCACAAGTGATCGATTATCTGTGAGCAATTTGCGGTCGCAGCTCACCACTATTTACAGAAATCAAGAGGAAGAAGAAGAGGAGGAGGAAGAAGAAGAGGAGGAAGAAGGAGGAAAGGAGAAAGCAGGAGGAGAAGAAGAAGAAGCGAGAAGATTCGCACTTGTTAGAGATTTTGATCTGTCTGGTTTGAAACGCATTAGGGTTCCAAGAAGGAATTATATTCAAATGGATCCTCATAAAAAGGTTCGTTTTTTACCTTTCGTTTGAAGAGCATTTCGTAAAAACATTCTGGGTATTCTCGTATGGATCTGTCGTTTCTTTTTTTAATCTGTTTGATTTCTTCAGATTCAAAATTGAAATCTAGATTTAATTTTGGTCCTCTTAGGTTTTGTTGCTTTTTTTGAAATGATGTCTCTCAATTTCTATAACTACATTGGAATGAACTGTATCAAATATTCGTTTTGATCACTGGGTTTAAGCTATTAGATTGAATAGGGATTCTTACACAATATTTCGTGGTGTTTGTTTGCTTAGAAAATGGTGGATATTGTCACGAATTGACTAATGGAACTGTCAAATATTTGTTCAACAGTCTCAGATGTCAATACTTTTATGTTGTGAATAATGCTATATTGTGGATTTTGCATGAATATGCTTCCTTTCCATTGGCTTTGATTCCTTTTCTGGTCTGAACTTAATCTATGGTACGTTAGGCATATGATGACTAGATACATGTGATCTCTAGAATTTGGAGAAGTAGCTGAAATGCTACATTGTTGTTTTGGTTTCTCCTTGACTGTTTTTCCTTTGCATCGGCTCTGGATTGGTCTTTCATATCCGCTGGTCTGAACATGAGTCTATGTTACCTTATATACGTCAGATGATACTTGTGATCTGTAGAAGTTTGAGAACTAGGCCACCTTCTTTTTCTAGGATTTCCTCTTCTGTCCAATCTGAGATCTGAATAGGCATTTTGTGGTGTCATGTTTGTACAAACACAGGTTGCACTGGAGACTGAGTTCTTTACAGAATACGGTGAAGCCAGCCGATACCAAATCCAAGAAGTTATAGGGAAAGGAAGTTACGGGGTTGTGGCATCTGCAATCGACACACATACGGGAGAAAAGGTTGCCATAAAGAAAATCAATGATGTTTTTGAGCACGTCTCTGATGCAACGCGGATTCTAAGAGAGATCAAGCTCCTCAGGTTGCTCCGGCATCCTGATATAGTGGAGATAAAGCACGTAATGCTTCCTCCTTCCCGTAGAGAATTCAGAGACATATATGTTGTATTTGAGCTGATGGAATCAGATCTTCACCAAGTCATCAAAGCGAACGATGATCTAACACCTGAGCATTACCAGTTTTTCCTGTACCAGCTTCTTCGTGGCCTGAAATTCATCCACACAGGCAAGTGCAATGGCTTGTGTTACCTTTGCCCCTTGGGCCTTTTACTGCTTTTCTACTAAACCTGAAGAAATCTTTTTTTTTGCGTTGTTGCAGCCAATGTGTTTCACCGTGATTTGAAGCCCAAAAACATTCTAGCCAACTCTGATTGCAAGCTGAAGATTTGCGACTTTGGGCTTGCTCGTGTGTCGTTTAATGACGCACCTTCGGCTATATTCTGGACTGTATGTTAGAGGCTGAAATCATAAGTTTTTTTTTTCATTTTCATTAATTAATTCTAGTGTTGTGTACAGATGATTTTCGTTTCTTTGCAGGATTATGTCGCTACAAGATGGTACCGTGCACCAGAACTTTGTGGCTCTTTCTTCTCCAAAGTAATATCTATTTCTCTATATTCTTTGTGTGTACAATTTACCTGTTTCTCTTATCTAAAGGATAAAATTGAAATTTTGTTTTGTCCTTTCTCTGCTGTAGTATACTCCTGCCATTGATATATGGAGCATAGGATGCATATTTGCAGAAATGCTCACAGGGAAACCATTGTTTCCGGGGAAGAACGTTGTGCACCAATTGGATATTATGACTGATTTGCTTGGTACTCCTCCACCCGAAGCTATTTCAAGGGTTAGTTGGTATTAGTCAGTTTAAAGTTCATCTTTCTTTTTGTTTGCTACAATTTGGCTAAGCATGGAGTTTCTTTGATGTCTTATGAATTAAGAGTTTTAAAAAGCTTTATAATCTATGACTATTTGTTTACTTGTGCTTTGCAGCCATGATTTTTTTACAATTAGTTTAGGCCTAGCTCGGGTTTGATTCATATTTATTGGTTGGAATGTGGCCCATACGATATTAGCGTTATAACATTACTAGAACAGGGTTGGATCAGTTTTTTGTATTTCCTGTAATGAAGATCAATGTTTTGTTTTGTTGCAGATTCGTAATGAAAAGGCGAGGAGATATCTCGGCAACATGAGGAGAAAACCACCAGTTCCATTCACTCACAAATTTCCTCATGTAGACCCGTTGGCCCTACGTTTGCTGCACCGTCTTCTTGCATTTGATCCCAAAGATCGTCCCACAGCTGAAGAGGTAAAACTCCTCGACACTAATTTTTTCAGACCAGTTTCAATCACTCTCATACAAGGAAAGATTTATACATACATTTGTGTGTGTGTGTGTGTGTGTGTGTGTGTGTGTGTATACAGGCACTGGCAGATCCTTACTTCTATGGTCTGGCAAACGTCGATCGGGAACCATCTACTCAACCGATTCCAAAACTTGAGTTTGAGTTTGAAAGAAGGAAGATTATGAAAGAAGACGTGAGAGAATTGATCTATAGAGAGGTACACTAATCTCATACTATTTTTTTTCCTTTGTTTGGATTGGTTATGCTCTGAAGTCTGAACAATGGCAAAATTTATCCTTTTTATCCACACTGGTACTTTTATCGTATTTCTTACAGAACTAGAATGTTAAACAACTGCAGATATTAGAGTATCATCCTCAAATGCTGCAAGAATATCTTCGAGGTGGAGAACAGACTAGCTTCATGTACCCAAGGTAAACTATAACATTTACAATCTGTATTTAAAATTTTACTACGAATTACGAGAAGTAAGATAAATATTTTCGTAATCCAAATAAAAATGCAGTGGGGTTGATCGGTTTAAGAGACAATTTGCACATCTTGAGGAACATTACGGTAAGGGTGAGAGAAGCGCTCCTCTTCAACAACGACACGCCTCCTTGCCTAGGTACAAGTTTTCTTCTTTTTGGTTTGTTTGCAACATTGATTTGAAAAGTTGTCAGATTCCACTGATTCACATAATTTTTGCATCATCACGTTGGTCGTGTTGTGTTTGGTACCTTTCTGTTTCAGAGAGAGAGTCCCTGCTCCTAAGGAAGAGAATGGATTACACAATCACGATACCGAAAACAGACCTGAAGCTTCTTTAGCCACGAGGCCCACGACACTCGAAAGCCCTCCAAATTCTCAACACGAAAGCTCAGATTACATGAATGGAATGAGCCAGACGGGTTACAGTGCCCGAAGCTTGCTGAAAAGTGCCAGCATCAGTGCATCTAAATGCATTGGCATGAAACAAAGAAACAAGTCCGAGGTAAAGATCAAGAACCATTTAAAGATATGTTACAAGTTTGTATGCACTTGTTGTTCACATTCTTGGTTTTTGCAGCACGGGGAATCGAACAATGATGCAGTTGATGCTTTGTCTCAAAAGGTCACGGCTCTACACACTTGATTGGATATTTGGGAATGAAACTTCTTGCTAACAATTGACGGCTGATTCTACAATTCATATACACATCTCTCACAAGGAGCAGAAGAAGAAGATCTATTTGTATTAAATGAATGGAATTATTGTTGTTCGTTCGCTAAGTAATTACAGTAGGTGCCACTAATTTTATGGAGGAACCCGGAAATGCCCCAGAAGTTTGGCTTTATACTTGTTAACCCCTGGATATTTTGTTTGAGAAGTTTCTGACCTTATCAAATGATAAAAATAAATAGTTGAAATTTGTGTTAAATACATCTTTGACCCATATGTGATTATATGTATGTATGTTTGATGGTCACTTCATCCTCCAATGATATAGAATCATACGTATTGACTGTTCACTTTATTCTTTTTGGTCGTCCCATTTTGCTTTTTCTTTAGTTCTCTTTCGGTTTACAAATCGCTTTAGAGCTGGTGAAGACACTGTTACTGGCTGGTACATATATCATAAATCAAATTTCAATGATCAAATATGAACTAGTGCACGATACAATAAGGTTTAAAGAAATTATCTTCTCTAGTTGCTACATAGTCTTATGACTCTTATCCCAGTTGACCGAATACTGCATTTGTGAAACGAAATCTGAACACAATGAGTTTATTAATCTTTTACCGTTTGTAACTCTATAGCACTCGTCTATCGTCCTAGTGATGTAGATTGAGAGAATTTTATGCCTGATTTTTTTTTTTGTTTTTAGAACCATCTTGCATTTTTTTTTGGCGTTCCCGAAAAAAGGCTTTGTAATTTTTTAAGCAGCTTTCACTACAACCATTCGCGTGCCTGACGTTATCTTTTCAACATGGAGCTCCCACATAATTAACTCTTTTCCCTTTTTTTTTTTTGTTTTTACGGCTTTTTAGTTTTTTACTATCCAAAAAAGGTATATTAAATAAGTAATCGTTGTGCTCTGGTGAATTTTAAATGCGTGTATTATATATGTACGAATCCTTGTGGTATATGTAGGTGATTATTTGGCAGAAACATATTTGAGTATTTTAACAGGAACCAAAAAACAAATCTGAGTACACAATTAGGTTCTCTTTGGGTCACCGAGTACACAAATAGTTCCTACTTGCCATCAACAAGAAAAGAAAAGAAAAAAAAATCAAAGGAAACTACAAAATAAAAAGCCGGAAGGGGCTAAGAGTTCTTTTTCTTTTTGAAATAACTAAGTGTAGAATTTGTTTTGTCATGGAACTATGGAAGTAAGCGAAAAGTTTGATACATCTCAAAAGCAATGTTTTGGTTAAAAATGACAAAAACAGCTAACTATAGGCATGACAGAAATTTACTTCATATTTTGTTTTAATAGCGATTGAAATATTTTTTGACAAAAAAAGAAAATTAAAAAACAGTGCTTGAAATAAAAATTGCATGATTTTTTGTTGTTGTTCATGTGTGTTTTGTGAAAAAAAATTATATGCATGTTTATACATAAAACATTATCCAATCTCATGTTAATTTTGTGGATTATGCAGATTAAAGAATCCTTCCAAACTCTTATGCATTGGTTACAAAAAAAAATCAGTGAACCTGTCGATCAGTCACCTCTGTGGTCTTTCAAGTTTCAATGCGAAGAATAATCGTCACGTGATTCACATATACAGTATAAGATCCCACTAATTAAGTTATTAATACTCTAATGTTTCTTATGAACTCATAAACTAATTTACTAGGTTTGCATGGATTCTTTTACATTATTAATAATCCTATACATTGAAAACTAATTAGAAATATACACAAACAATGATCATAAAGCATGAGAAATATTTGGGGTATATTTTTTTTTAAAAATCTTTTAACAGATTCACAATAATGTTTGATGACCATATCTATGTCAGCACAACAAAGCATATATAGAAACCAAAGTTGAAGACTCTACCTCAGCAAGAAGCTCTCTCACAGCAGAACCAAGAGTTGGCTTTCTTTCGGTGTATATACAAATGTACGAAATCAATTAAATTTTTAATCCAATAAAATTTTACAAGTATTAAATTGGTATCGAGATCCCATTTGTGATATTTATTATTACACATCTCTTCCACTCCCTCACTCTTTGTCTCTCTCTCTCACTGTCTCTCTATTACTCTGTCCCCATTCGTCCGGCGATGTACCAACACGCGCCGTCTTTCATTTCCCTCATCGTCTTCTTCACCATCCTCTTACCCGTTTCACCAAACCCGACTCAGAACCCAGACCCGGTCACCGTCCAGCCGTTTCGGGTCAAATCATCCCCACCCGCCACAATACCCGCTTTCCCGGAGCAATCCGATTTCTCCGGCTGCCCACTCGATTTACCAGAAGACCTCTTCCACGGGATCAAATCAGCCTGCACCGGTAAAAAGCTCCACAAGGGACGATGCTGCCCCGTGCTAGGCGCGTGGCTCTACTCCGCTTACTCATCGACTGCCCTGAGCCGTTCGATTTCCGCCGCCGCGAGAAACGCATCCTCCTCCGCCGTGACGACGACGCCGCCGGCGGAAGAAGATATGCCTTTGCTTCCCGACGACTCGGAGACCTGCGTCGACGGATTGGGAAAGTCGCTGAGAAGGAGAGGGATTGAGCTCGCGAGGCCGAACGAGACGTGCGACGTCGTTTACTGCTACTGCGGAATCAGATTGCATCACTTGAGCTGCTCCGATGCTTTTAGAGTGGACGAACAAGGGAGGCTCGTTGGAGACGAGAGTGTTGATCGATTAGAGACTGATTGTTTGAGTGGTAGCCACAACAATGCCGATAGATTCTCTCCTCTCAGTGCCTGTAACAAGTGCTTGAACAGCCTCTACAAGGTAAAATTTCAGTTACCTTTTTCCGCAATATCTACAAAAGATCGCTACTTTTTTGGTGAAATGTTCTCAGTTTAGATTCACAGTTAGAAGCTGACACTGAGGAGATCAAATGGAATCCTGTAGGTTGGCTTTTCACTAGAATTAGATTAGAGTGTATTTTTAGTCAAATTTTGCTCCAAATATAGTAACTTTAGATACCATTGAGTGTTCTTGTTTTTTTTTTTTTAGCATATGGATTTGATTAATAACTAATAAGGAAATGATAGTAAACTATCTAGTTAAGGTCTAGTCCAAAGTTGATAACTTTTTATGATCCATTTGGTGATCTTTGGTGTTTAAACATTAGGGTCTTAAGATATGAGTGATCAGTCAGTGAAGAAGATTTGGAATTTCATACGTTCTAGGATTCTTTTTAATCATCCTTGCCGGATGGTAATTTGGAAAACTTTTGTTCTTTAGCTTTTTGTTCTTTTTCTATCTGACAATCTGACACACGCATCTACGCGCTTACAGAATCCGTGATCTTCACGCGACATTTCTTTCTTTCATCATATGATTTCATTCTTCTGCGTCTTAATCACCAAACCCACCATAACATAAAAGCTTTAGCCACTAGATTCCACTTTCTTACTTTTTTCAGCTCCTAACTAATTCATTAGTCTAGCAACAAACCCTTTAAATCGACACAAACAAACCACATCTGGTTCTTTATTGTTTTGCAGCTAAACCCGAAGAAAACTTCAGCGACAAGAAACCCATCCAAGGAAGACAGGAACAGAACAACAAAGATGCACAACAAAGATTGTGTCCTCATGGGTCTCACTTGGCTTCTCGCTAAGAACCGTACGGCTTACTTCCCCACTGTCACTTCAGTCCTCCGAGCCGTCATGCTTAACCACGACGGCGAGCCACGGTCATGTGCTCTCGGCAGCGACGGCATGCCTTTAGCCGTTGACTCTTCCGAATTCTCCAGCGGCTCGTCGAATTCACTCCAGTATCGGCACCACTTGGTCCATTTCTTACTTTACAGCGTCATCACATTCGTCTTACTAAGGTCGTGGTGACTTAAGTTGACGTGGTATTACGTGATTGGCTGAGATAATTTAAGTGAAATTCAGATAGAGAAAGTGAGACGGTGATTGTCTTTATGTCTTTGTAAATTAGTTTTGTTTTTGCTGTTGTAGCCATTTTGTTATAAAAAAAAAATCAAATTGTTTTTTATCATTAATTTTTAAAATGTGATACACAATTTCAACTATATTTTCGGCCAGATAAAAAATTATATGAGGCCAATCAATAAAAAAAAAAAACTAGTTTTTGGAGGAGAAGAATAATAGAGAAAGGCATGTGAGTGATGGGGACGAGGTGGTGTGGCTGGTTTGAGAGAGACAGAGAGATTTGTGACAGCTTTGTTCTTATGTTCCCTTATCTTTTTTGTAACCACGGAAAACTATATATTATACTGATTGATAATGCGACCAAGAGATGTGAGAAACCCCACGACTGATATTTTATTTTCTCTCATATACTTCTTTAATAATTTTTGATTCAAATATCGAATTGTTCCCTTGGATTTTCCATCTTTCACTTGCACGATATGCAAGAGAAAACTTCGGGTGTATGTATATAAACATCTACCAATGCAACCGCTAACGATTCATTGGGTTCGCATTAATGCAAATTGTTGGGTTGGGCTCAAATAGTTAGCCCATGTTCCATTTATTTTCCTCCGTTTGGAAAACATAAATTGTGATAGACATGGATTTTTTTGGCTTTCGTCAAGAATATTGTGACATGGAATTATCATTCTATGGATGCATGTAGGAAGTGTTAAGAATATTTTCTGTAAGAGAAATCGGAGATCACTATCCTTAATCTTGACATTAGCTATTTTGTTTGTTTGTTTACTAATCCGTTTTAGCCAATTTTTTAAATTGTTTTTGATGGCCAGAGAAGTAATAATGTTTGCGACAATGATGATTAACTTATCTTTTTTAATTAAGAGAATTTAAAATAACAGCTAATGTCAAAACTCAAAAGACTCAAAACCGTCCTCGTCTCTGTGTGTGTGTGGTCTCCTTCTTCTCTTAGCTTCCGTCACGATCCCGTAAACCCAAAAATACACTCAAAACAATCTCTGTGAAGTCATCGACTATGGAGCTTGCTGAAACCTATGCCTGCGTTCCGTCGACGGAGAGAGGTCGGGGAATCCTGATCTCCGGTGACCCCAAGTCCGACACCATCCTCTACACAAATGGTCGATCCGTCGTGATTCTCGACCTCAACAATCCTTTAAAGGTCTCTATCTATGGCGAGCATGCTTACCCAGCTACGGTGGCGCGATACTCCCCGAACGGCGAGTGGATCGCGTCCGGTGATGTATCGGGGACTGTCAGAATCTGGGGGACTCACAACGATCATGTGCTGAAGAAGGAGTTTAAGGTTTTGGCTGGTCGGATTGATGATCTCCAGTGGTCGGCTGATGGGATGCGGATCGTAGCCTCCGGTGATGGCAAAGGAAAATCTCTTGTTCGTGCTTTCATGTGAGTTTTTTTTTTTTTTTTTTTTTTAATGAATTTGGTTGTTCGTGCTTAGGATTTTGTCTTCTCAGTTGTGAAATGAGAGAGAAAAGCCCAGTGAAGAAAATTTAAGTTAAGTCTTCTCTATCAGTGACTTCAAAATCGGTGATTTTAGTAAAACGAAGAAGGAAAATGATCGAGCTAAGCTGTTCTGGGATTCAAATTCGAATCAACACCTTTCAGTTGACTTTGATCGATCAGACTAAGATTTTGTTTTTCGGATCGAAACTCAGCTTATAAATCACATCGAAATGAGCATTCTTTTCTTCTTCCCAGACCCAGTTATGCTGCATTGATTTTCTAATCCCATTTGCCAGATTCTTGTTTTGCTTAATTAACGAAATATTTACCTCTATTAGGTGGGATTCAGGATCAAATGTGGGAGAGTTTGATGGACATTCTAGGCGTGTTCTTAGCTGCGCATTCAAGCCAACCAGACCGTTCCGCATTGTAACTTGTGGAGAGGATTTTCTGGTGAATTTCTATGAAGGTCCTCCTTTTAAGTTCAAGCTCTCAAGCAGGTCTGATTTTACAAAAATATGCTCCCTTTCTTTAAAGAAAGAATTTTTTTTTTTTTAGGTTATGGTGTGTATCTGTTCAATTCCGTGCTTGTGTGTTCCGAAATGTTGAACGAGTTTGTTGTCTGTTGATCAACAGAGAGCATTCCAATTTTGTCAACTGTGTGAGGTTTTCACCAGATGGAAGTAAATTTATCACTGTAAGTTCAGATAAAAAGGGAATCATATATGATGGAAAGACTTGTGAGAAACTTGGAGAACTCTCATCTGACGATGGACATAAAGGTAGCATCTACGCTGTTAGCTGGAGTCCTGATGGTAAACAGGTACTACGGTTATGTCCTGATGATTCCGTTTTACTAGACTCAAACTACATTACGCTTTAATAAGGTCTGTAAGAATAGCATATGAAATTAGTTGTAGATACATGAGCTATTTAACTGGTCTGTACTTTGGCTGTTTATATGAAGACTCAATGAGATATTTTCTATGCATCTGTACTCACGTGTTGTGTATGTTTGAATCATCAACCAGGTCCTCACTGTATCTGCAGACAAGTCAGCTAAAGTATGGGAGATCTCTGATAGTGGTGACGGAACATTGACGACCACATTGAATTGTCCTGGATCATCAGGCGGAGTGGACGATATGCTTGTGGGGTGTCTTTGGCAGAACGATCATATTGTCACTGTTTCTCTAGGTGGTACAATCAGCATATTCTCAGCAAGCGATCTTGAGAAATCCCCCTTTCAGTTCTCTGGACATATGAAGAACATCTCTTCCTTATCTGTGCTTAAAGGAAACGCTGACTACATACTATCCAGTAGCTATGATGGCCTGATATGTAAATGGATGCTAGGCCGTGGTTTTTGCGGTAAATTGCAGCGGACACAAAACTCTCAAATAAAGTGCTTTGCTGCTCATGAAGAAGAGATCGTGACCTCTGGATTTGACAATAAGGTAAATTGGTTTTCACACGTAGGATTTGTCCATTTGATTTCTGCAATGTTCGAGTTTTGGTGTTTAGGGGATTCTAAGTACGGAACAAGCCAATGAGGTTTTTCATCTCTAGAATATTGGCTACTGATCGTGGTCCGTATTCCCGTGAATTCACTTAACTGCATCATATTCACGGTTTCGGTGATCGGATCTCACGGTTTCATTGCTTTACGGTCTTTATAAGTACTCACACTTTGGGAGAAACTTGTCAAAATATCAATAATCTTGTGATTAAGATAAGTTAGAAGAGCCATCACTGAAAGCCATGTGGTCTTTTACCTTGTGGGAATTAAGCAATGACTGGTATTTTTATTTCGTAGCTGATCTAATTGGTGAACTAAGCAACTAACTTGCGTTCTTTTACTATTTGATACTTTACCAGATATCCAGGATTTCTTATAAAGACGATCAATGCACTAACGAAGAGTCTATTGACATTGGAAATCAACCAAAAGATCTAAGTCTTGCACCACTCTCACCCGATCTACTTCTGGTGACCTTTGAATCAGGAGTTGTGTTTCTCCGTGGTGAGAAAGTAGTGTCAACCGTCAACCTTGGGTTCACTGTCACTGCTTTGGCCGTAACACCTGATGGAACCGAAGCCATCGTCGGTGGTCAAGATGGTAAACTTCATCTGTATTCTATCAATGGCGACTCTCTTACTGAGGAAGCAGTTCTTGAGAAACACAGAGGTGCCATCAGCGTCATACGTTACTCCCCAGATCTCTCTATGTTTGCATCAGCTGATTTGAACAGAGAAGCAGTTGTATGGGACAGAGTTTCCAGAGAGGTAACTTGATCGCTAAAGGAATATTAGAACCTCTCCATGATTCTTCAACACAAACACTGATTTTAAATAAATCTTTTTTTAAAAAAAAAAACAGGTGAAACTGAAGAACATGTTGTACCATAGCGCCCGCATAAACTGCTTAGCCTGGTCCCCAAACGGCACAATGGTTGCTACAGGATCCTTGGACACCTGTGTGATTGTGTATGAAGTGGACAAACCTGCTTCCACACGCATGACCATAAAAGGAGCTCACTTAGGTGGAGTTTATGGTCTGGGTTTTGCTGATGATTCCCATGTTGTGAGTTCTGGTGAAGATGCATGCATCCGGGTTTGGAGCTTAACTCCTCAATAAGACTGAGGTGTAAATTTTAAAGATCTTTGGGAACTCCTCTTGTCTCTTTGGAAAGCTTCTATTACTTTTGAAGGCTTTTTTGGGATCTTTGTTTGGCTGTGGCTGTGTTGGTGTGTGCGAGTCTTTTTGCTTTGCATAATCTCTTTGTCAAAAATGATACTTTCTGTTTATTTATTTTTTTGGGGTCAAATTTTTGAGAAAATGAGATCATGAGTCGGATATTTATTATATTACTGACAGAAAATTGAACTCGATATTGCGCGCGAGTCTTTTTGCTTTGCATATCTCTTTGTCAAAATTTGTCATGAAATGCATAAAATTCAGTCTTATTACAACAGATTGATAAATTACTTGATCCAAAAAGTATAAAATCATAAGTATGTCGTATGCAAGAGATTTGATTATAAATTAAAATATAAACAAATTAAAATATGCATTAGAGCTATGGCTACACAATACGAATGGAAATCTCCAACAAGTAGATAATATGCTTTAGAGCTATTATTATTTTATTTTTTGTAACACAGGCAGGTGACTTCATCAAAGGTCGACAAGAGCTTGTTTAAATTCATGGCAATTGCGGAATTCAAATGGCTTACAAACTCTCATAGATTTATTCTTGAATCTGAAGACATATTATTGAAAAAGATAAGAAAGAAGTCACATAGTCAAGTCAAAGTAAACACAAAAAAATGTAACACATTAAAAATGTATGTGAGAGGACTTAATTTTTTCTCCACAGTGTCAAACTCTCTGAGGGAATGTTCAGCTTGCATTAGGTCATCAAGAGCAAGCTTGGAAGATAGATAAACCTTCAGCATACAACAAACTCATGGATTGACAATGAAGAACTGATGTCAAGTTCACCTCTGATCTTGTACATAGCAGAGAGCTGCTGAATCATGTCTTCGGTACATCAGTGAAGAACAAAAAACCAAACTTCAAAAATTGTGCACAAATAATTTTTTTTTTAAATGAGAATAAAATCAT